TCATTTCTTTGAAATGCTACAAGTGTTCCCTTCTTTTCTTGAGAAATGAGATTCAGAATTTCTATTCTGAAAACTCCTTTGTCAGGGAGACAATGTCAGAGCAAGTCTGAAGGAAGTTCAGAGAACTGTGAATACTCTTGGAATCCAAAACAAAAAGTAAGACTTGCTTATTATTGTTAGTACAACACACAAATAACCTCCTAAGAAATCGAGTCTGCTAATGACAGACTAAGTATATACAAGGTAATTTTTTTAAGAGCTACATTAATTTGCATCACTCCCTGAAGATGTCAGTGGCCACACAGGAAAAGACATGTATTTTGTACAGCACCACAGACTGCTTGTTTAATAAAGAGGGTAATAACTTGAACCCACATAGATCTTTGTACTTCTGGTCTGTTTGGCCATATCCCACACCTGGATTTGAGACCCTCTTTGGTGCCAGATGCCTCACCATGTCTGGATATCCCAGCAGCTCACCATTACCTGTAGCTCAAAAGGAGCTAAACCACAAAAGAGTTTAATAAATTAATTTTTCTATCTTTATTACCCTACAGACGTAACTAGATGAAACTAAATAATTTAAAAGATCATTTAATGCACCTATTATTTCACCAAAGGGTATACTGAAGTTTGAAGACAGGATAAGGACATGAGGGAAAGGATGTGTGAAACTAGAGATGACATCAAATAAAACAGAAAACAGTGTTTACCAGCTGAAAGTCTTCATTCTTGCCCAGTTTGATGCAAAATGTCAATCCAGTCCAATAAACAGTTTAAATACAATTTGTAGTCAAAATAAGGAGGAACTGTGTATGACAAATGCATGCAAAATGGTATGTAAATCTTTATCAATACATTTGTGACTTGGTTAGTGGCTCTCTCCCCCTGGGAGTCTAAGCCTCCACTACATCAAAGCTCATAAGTTGTCACTATCTGCTACTAAACAAGAAGACTGGTGACATTTTTATCTGCTTTTGGGGGTAGACAGATTGCAATGAATATGTTTCCTTTTACTTTTTTTACCCTTTTAAATATAAACTTCAATATCGAAGTAGATCTTTCCTTGCCCCGCTCAGGGCAGAACAGAAGTGATAATTTTTTTTTTTTAATGGGAAAGATTTTGATATAGAAAAGAATATTAGGATGCAAGGGGATGTTTATCTTTACAGGATTTGCATGAAGCTTCAACTTTAGGAGGAGATCAATAATCTCCCTCAGCTGTCACCAGAGGGATCCTTCAGCTCACTATTTAAAATTTCTGAGACAATTCTCTATAAAACATTTAAAATAGGAAAGGTACAGATACCCAGGAAAAGAAATTCCTATGTGAAAATTTTGAGAAACAATTCAAAGCAGTCAAAATATGTCAATATTTTAAATATAATTTTATTTCCAATTCATACCTGCTAGTTTCAAATTCAAGGTAATTTCAAAATATGTATTATCAGATTAAAACAGTAACAATTTGAAAACAGCTTTGAATGAGTCTAAAAAGTATGGTTTAGGATGTTTACAAATATATTGAAACATTTGAGAATCCAGCCTGACTTCCTACAGAACACTTGAAAATATTTTTGCCCTGTTGATGGAAAAGAAACATTTATTTTGGTTTAATCTCAGTTTGATGAAATGACTTGTTTTGCCAATAAATAGTTTTTCTGCCAAAAACTAAGCTGCTGTTAAGGATGAAGAAGCTGTGAAAATTTATTTTAATATCAGAAATGTGTTTTTTGCTGGACATTTTATAAACACAAGTACGTATTGTTTTAGAGCAATCCAGATACAAGGAAAGCTTGGGCCTCAAATTTACATCTTTACTTCTACCAAAGGATGCAAAGTTGTAAAAGCCACCATCTTTCAAGTATATGGTATTTGGGCATGATGAGAAAAGGCTCTCTCTCTCACTCTCTCCCTTTTTTTATCTTCCAAGCACTTCTCTGCTTTTAGCATATTCAGGCACCTTGTGCTTAACCACCTGAAAAGCTTTCTGAGGAGTGCATGACCGGTCAAAAATATGATGGAACAGTCTGACAACCAGGCCTTTAGAAGCAGGACAAGAGTATCTATATATTTATCCAATTCATTTTCCTATTTTTTGTGGGGGGTGGGGGAATAAAATGGCTTTCCCAGAGGCAGAGAAATGCAGCAATGAGCTGAGCAGGTGCTCCTGCCCAGAGCTCTGCTGTCCATCCTCCCTGGGGATGCCCTGGGCACGTGGCCATGGCCTGAGCTGCACAGGGAGGCAGCAGCCAGGAGCCTCTGGGCTGTGCTGGGAACCATTAATCCACCTGCTCTGTCCTTTGGACCTGAGTTAACCTCTGTGGTGTCTGTAAACTGCACTGCTCTGCACTGCAGGGGCACATCACCCACCTGGCAGATAACCCAGGACTCTTCTGGTTTTTATTAAAAGCCTCTGTGGGACTTGCCTGTCTTTGCTCACTCTTTTCTCAGGCCATCCTAAAGACATCCTGATTTGTAAAAAATCAGTAAAATGTCAAGTACAGTGATACTGATATCCTGTCACCAACAGCAAGACAGAGCTGTATATTCTTGCTTTTTGTGTTACTCAGATTCCAAAAATAGGTGTCTAATGCCATTTGAGACACCTCAGGGTGCCTGGGACACTTCATAGAACTTGCAAACACAACGTGACTCCATGTGAGATGCTACTTGAGAAGCTGGAGCACCTAGAACTGCATTAGATGCTCACAGCTAGGCAGTCAAACCTTCTTCCAGTGTCAGAACTGATGCCAGTCACTGACCAAGTGACTGCATCCTTTGGTACAAGTTTCCTGAGCCTCCAGGTGAGCCCACTACTATGGCCAGTCCCAGCAGCTAAACCTAAGCTGTTAGCTCAGAACCACTCAGGGACACCCACAAAAAAGGTGTTTGAAAACTTCCACCCTGACCTAAGAAGCAAACTCTCCAAATCCAGGGGGAGCTGGGAGGAAAGAAACATCGAGTTAGGTTGAACAACCATCCCTAGATCCCTACACAGATTTTACCTAGCACAGGTATTTTGACCTGAATGCCTACAAGAAAATGACATTTTCATAAGCTGTAAAGTATGCAAGCACGTAATTACCAGATGAGCTTGAAACAGTTGTATTGAAACTGATAATTAATTTTTATGGATGTGAACAGGATTTGAATAATCTCAAAGAGATGAACTACAGCTGTTTTTGAAGCAACTAGAGAATGTTATCATGCCAAGAAAAAAAACATATGTTCAGTCTGTTTTAGACCCTGAAAAATATCTTCTAAAATACAAATTACGAAAACCTTTTTCTCACATTAAGTGTACAGTGTAAAATGTTCACATTGTTGGGGGGCTGGCTGGCCTGCCAAGATTCTGTGTGTTCCTACTCTATGGTCTCACAGACATTTACAGGGATCTTTCAGATACTGCTAAGTAATAGGGACATTCAGTTCCACTAAAATGGTTAGAAACAGCAAGTGTGAGGAGACTATGTCAAATAGAGTTGTTTACTCCTTTAATTTATGACCTATTAATCTAATTCCAAATTCTGCAGGACTGGGTAAATGAGGCACAACTTTAAATCATCAAATTAGAATTTGCATTACCACACTATGAGAACCAGCTCTAAAGACCATCTTTCATGTTCTGTAGAACTAGTCACTAAATATAAATTAGCACACTGCAAAGCCTGATCTTGATAATGATGCCTACTTCTCAATGACATGCTAAGGCAGGGAAATAGTATACCCATGGTCTATACAGCTTTCATGAAGAGTAAATCTTAATTCCTCTCTCTAAACGTATTTTTTTTTTATTATTTATAATTTTTACTGACTGTGAATGTTACATTCTCCTTCTATAGAAAAGGTCTTTTTTCTTTTCTGGGTTGAGTACAACCATGGACTCTTGTCTCTAAACTACTGCACTTGCTGGGCCAGGAACACCAAATTTCTGTGGCTGGGTAATGCAGACAGTAGTGTCCCAAAGGACAGATCAAACCTAAGTGTTATTATTGGAATCACTGTGTGCAAAAGGAATAAAGAAATCATGAGTCAACATCTTGCAGCTCCTTTCTTCTACCTGCCAAACTCCATGTGCAACAAGAAAATACCTACATGTCTATATGGCCTAACTACCCCTTGGGTAATTTGGGCCTGCAGTGCCCTGAGGTTTGTATTCTACAAGCTGAACTGGTCACTTTGATAGAGCCAAAGCTGGGGGGCAAATTCTCTGTTAAGCTTTTAAGAAGGATGAAAGAAAAACAACAAACACCCTATTTGGATAATGATTTTTTAAGGGAACCAGGACTCTTAATTAAATGTTCACCTTTTCCAGAGTTCATAGAAAACTTCTTGGTTTGTTACAGTTCTGTAAAGAGACTCATGACCAGAGTATTGGAAAACTGAAATATATGTGCATGGGTATTTTTTAAAATGACACCTGAGATCTCAAGCTTGCCTCCAACCACTAAGTGATAAATTTTATTTTTCACTCCTTGTATACATATCTAACACTCAAGATGGAACTGAAAAATAGATGTGGCTGCAGAATTACAGAATGTGGTTGTTCACTGTGGCTGAAGCAAATAATCCATCCCCTCATAGTCCTGCAGCATTAAGAATTGCAGCAAACCCCACCATGATCTCCTGGCAGGCAAAGAGCTTCCAAGCCAGGAGAAACACCTCTGTGAAGCTAAAAGGCCCAATAAGACTCCAGTTTGTGGGGACTGGCTAGGCTGCATCACCTGAATGCATGTGTCATGAAATCCTGAAGGCAATAAAGGCAAGGAATCTTGTAACTCATTACTGCAGTGATGTTAGATGCCTCTGTTTTATCCATGGCAAAATTAATTAAAACCATTATAATGTGTGTGTCTGCTGGGTGTTGTTAGGAGTCAACACAAATTATTTATTATTGCAATGGTTTCCAGGGTCTGTGGGGTGTGCTGTAAGCAGTTTTCTTGATAGAAACTCTGTTAATTGTGTTTATTAGAGAAAAAGAAAAAGGTGGTTCCGACCTGTCATGCCTCAGTGCCCTCATATCAACATACACTGTGGTGGGATCTGGTCCAGATGTTCCCTGTAAACAACAACATCAGCTAATCAGAACATGAGGGCTGGGAGGAGAGAAGAGTTTTTCCCCCCAGATAACCAAACATTTATTTCAGTGCTAATTATGCTAATCAAATGACAAGTTATATTTAAAGTATTCATCAATCAAAGCTCAGCTTTACAGAATCAGAACAAGCACTGGAAAAATACCTACCATCAGGTACTTGTCACCTTGGAGTTCAGAAAAACACCAAGCAGTCAGACTACTTAACCAACACATGTGAACAGAGGTTTTATTTGCTACAAAAGGCCAAGTAATCAGCACATGGATACATACAAAAAATGTTAAACACGTTTTGCCATATAAAGGAAGGCGGAAACTGCTGAGGAGACACAGTTTAATGGCAGAAGCACATGGTCAGGAATGTGAAGCATGGTATACTGAGAGTCTTCCATACATGCAACAGAGAATATACTTGAAGCTAAAGATAGTAAAGGTAGCACGCATGACATTAACCAATCTGGACTGAAGCTCTGTTAAGCAATTATTCTGATCCTTTTCAGTCTTCCACTGCATAATTTAAACCCTTGCTTTATGTCACAATATTTAGTTACTTGAAAAGAGGCAGACTAATTTTAGTTTCCTTTCATGCAGAGATGATGCAGTCTTTAGGCCTTTCCACCCACAGCTTTTCTTCAGTTTTGCAGCCTGCCATGATCTGCCCTTATCCAAAACTTCAAACTCATCACCACTGAACATCATGTGAATTCTCAATGCTCCAGGCTAGGGCTCTCTTCTCTGCTGCAGACCTCATGATAATGCTAAGCACAAAGCTAGAAGAAAAGCACAACTTCATTCTGGAACACTGGCACGTTGGAAATTTCCTTTTCAGCAGAGGAATTCTCCTAAACCTGGTAAACTCCAGATGCACAAACTCCTTTAGCAGTTATTTAGATGTCTACTACTTAAACCAGCAGGCAACATGAACTCCTAGTGATTTCTGTCCCATTTGGGATGCATTGTAGAGTATAATTCTTCACATTAGGAATGTCTAGGGCTAAATTTTACATTTCTGCAATGCTGGCTGATTATTCCACAATTTTTTGAGCACTAAAAGTTGCAACCCAGACCCACAAATAGCCAATTTTTGTATCTATGGGGAAAAAGTGTTACCACTACCAATTGATACTTACTGGACAGGTACTGATCATCACCCACCACCAGAGAACAGCAGTAATAGAGCTGCACATGCATGTTAGCCTCTTTAGCTTGTTATGCACAATACAAGGTACAATATCCTCTCTAGCTATTAACGACATGATTTTCAGTCTACTGCTAAACTCAGCAGTGTAACAGACTAGTGCTGAGTGGAGAACTCATTTGAAATATACAAAATGTTAAAAAGAAAAAAACAAAACCAAGGAAAAATTGGTTATCTTTAAAAATAAAACTAAAGCTGATTTGATTTGTAAAATAATGGAAACAGTCAAGTTTGAAAATCAAAGACAATCACTAGGGCATTTATTATTTTCAGCATGAATGAAATAATTACAATGGATGTCTAATATTTGATGAAACCTGCATCCAGATAAAACTATACTGGACTTATTTATAATTTTATAGAAGGATCTGAAAATCCCCAAATCTCCAGACTCAATTTCTAGTCTGTCCCACTGTTGGAAGCTGATAGGTGGGTATTGAGGGAACATGAAAATCCCCTACCTGCTCGGCCAGCTTCCCCAGCCTGTGAGGCTATAGCAGCAGGAATAGCAGGGATGAGGGAGAGAAGGAAAGAAGGTAACACAAGACGAAAATAATAATAAAAAATGGGAATGAAGGGTGGGAGAAACAAAAGAGGAGAATGCAAAAAGCAGGGAGTAAAATAAAAAGAAAAACAATGTCAAATACAGGAATTTTACAAATTAACCATTATACCATTAAAGGTTAAAAAAAGTAAAAAATGAGGTGTCAACATTTTAGTAGAGCAACAGAAGAGACAGCTGTAGACTGCTAACCTTGGACAAACAGATTTAAATGGTTTTAGGACACTACAGACAATGTTGTTAGTGGAAAACACGTGTCTAGCATACTGATTTTTCTGTTATATATTTTTTTTTGTTTTGAAGTCATTAAACATTATGGCCAGCCTATTTTAACCGTTTTATTCCATTGAGAATTCCAGGTCTGCTATTTTACTATTAACAGAAGTTTGCAAGTGATGTCCTCTGGAAATCAAAAGTAAACTCTCTTTTTGGAAAAATAAAAATATTTAGTATACAACAGAGAAAGATACTTACACCTTCTTGCATACAGATTAACCTGATCCTAAAGTGAAATAAAATCAAGGCTTGGTGCATAATCTAACTACTAGAAGTTCATAAAGAAATGGAGTAACTTCAGAGCCCAAGAAGTCTTCATTCCTATTTCTTATGGTAAACAGTGTAATACATATAAAGAACAGTAAAATTTAAAGTTGATAAAAACCCATCAGCTCTCCACCATGACTGATAACTCAGCAAAGAGATAAAAAATCCTCAGTGGTGACTAGTCCTAAGGCACTACTATCACATGGAGTATCTCACACCAGATGGCTGCTGTGGGATTTGCCCTACAACTTGTGAAAACAAGCAGCTCTGAAAGCCCTGGCATCCCACATTCCTCTCACCAGACTTCTGAATGCCAGCAGAGTTAAAGACTGCAGGAAGCTGCCACAGCAGCCCCTTAAGACAGGTCTATTTTGGATGCAAAAGAAGATGAAACATTTAACAAAAATAGGATGGATCTGCTTATTGCATTGATGCCCCAAAATGGTATTACTAATAATCCAGGCTGAACACTGCAGTATAACTTCAAGAGCGCAGGAGAATTACTGAAATCCAGCAGTTATATAATTCATTGCTTGTGACTATACTGCAGGTGCAGAAAGTACTGAGAGTACCAGAGCCTCATATGTCTTTTAACTATGGAACAGCTTGAGAAACAGCAGCTGAATTATCAGCAATGTCCTTCTGTGGCCAGTTGCAGCTGAAATACTCTGAGAAGTATTTCAAAGGAAGCAGAGTCTAAGCCAAGACCAGAATGACTGACTCAATTTGTCTGTGCACATTTATTTTGGGAGACAGAGATACAGAGCATCTGTTATGCTGGTAACAGAGGAAAAAACAGCACAACTTCTGGAGTATCTGATATTTACTTAGGATATGCCTGGTAGTGTTCAAGAAAACAAAATGGGACATACAGAATTTTCTGTCTGAAAATGGGTATATCATAAGTCACATCTCTTGGACTAAATAAATCTCTGCCCATGCACAGGCTGCCACTGGTGAACCATCCCTGGTCCAAGCAAATCTCAGCAGTATGCCAGGCTTTTATTCCCTGGGAAAACAATGCAGGTCAAAACTGCTTGAAGTACCACCCAAAAAGTCAGCTTTATGGCTGACCACATGCCAGGAGTCAGTGCAGACCTAATTTTCACTCAAGTTAAAGGCCAAGCTGCATGCTCTCCCCTACTTCCCTCTCCAGAGTTAACCAGGAGCTAGGCTATCATAAATCCTAAGAATATAAAAATAACTGGTTTTTTGGGTTTTATTTAACTGCCTAAGGATGTGGCCTCAGTGTTTACTCCAAGTCTGCTTCTGTTTCAGCAATGCTCAGAAAAGGAATTTTTGGTGGGCACTTGTCACTTACACAAGCATAGCAGCTGGAGCTATGAAAAGAACTTCATGGCATGACTCATAGCAAAGGTGGGAAAACAGAATCTGAGGAGCTCACCCTGAGCTGTAGTACATTGCTAAGTGTGAATCATACCTCTGACACAGTGCATGGTCTCCTGTGGCACTCTCTGCAGACCTACCCTTTATTACTTTTAATATGGAAGATCCTCAGAGAGTGTGATCTATTACTAAGTAAAGAAATATTAACTTTATGCCCTAAACTGAGTAACAAAGATTCCTTTGCTAGACAGTGAGGAAAGGGTCCATTTCATGTAACTTCAGCCATTAAAGAAGAAAGTGTGCAGTATAAGGTAAGAGAGATCTCCTGATGGTGATGGATCCCTGCCCCAGATGGGTGCCTGAGATGTCTCTTGAAGTATTTCTGTGATTCCACTGACTATTGATGATGTGGGATAACTCACTTAACCTTGCAGTAACAGTTAGAGGAGACAGAAAAGAAGCAAGATGAATCCTGCTCTCCTTAGCTTGGACAGATTTGTTAGTACATTTTCAGGGTTACCTAAGGAAAATTAACAACTTCTAGAAGTTTTCCCTCAACTGAAATTGAGTAGCAGGTTGAATAAAATGAAAATATTTATTCCAAGTGTTTAAATGGAAATCAGCTAAAATCCTAGAGAACCATCTGTGCTGTTGCAAGAAACCAGCTACTTTTCATATCTATTTTTCTCTCTCTCAAATGCTAAGATGCTAGTTAATGAGAATTAAAATATGCTAGATTCAATCTTTTCATCTCACTAATCCCTGGGCCATTATCTGTGACTATACAGCCATAAAAGGTCAGATATTAATAGCATTTAAGTGCCTAAAGATGGAGGGAATTATTTATTTTCAAAAGCACATCTCTAGAAATCTAGTCTGCAATGACTACATCAAAGGAAACATACTAAATTTGCTCTCAGTTTGAAAGGAAATGAATACAAATGACAATTCATTAGTCTGTCAGTGATCACAACCCGGAAATTAAGATAATTTGGTAGACTAAGATTCTTTTTGTACCAAAGAGATTATCACAATGATTACTTTTTCAAGGTAATCTTTAATAAAATGTTAAACTCTGCTATACACACAGACACAGAGAATCACACACTCTCAGATACACCCACAGGTACATATACAGCTTCCTCCTCTTCTTTTTGGAGAGGTGAACTGTAAAACCTTCCTGGAAGAATCAGGATACCTTTCCCTTTAAACATCTGAGTTGACACTGAGTCTTGGATTTTTCCACAAAATTGGAAATCAAGAAGGTATCAAAGATAATATCCAAGTTGTATTAGAGGTAGCCCACAAAGAAACCTGGATAAGGGTCCGTAGCTGAATCCTGAGATATGTTTAGTAAGGTGATTAGAAGATACATATTTTAGAAGCACTGGAGAGCAGGCTGGATCACCATTATCCCTGTGGAAGATGGTGTTCCAGGAACCACGTGCTGTTCTCATAGATGACATAACTTGGAAGAAAAAAAACAAAGGCAGATGCTATTGACTCAGATATCTTGAGAAGTAGTTTTATGCAGTGTGAAGAATCCAGAAATCATAACCCATTTTGGTACATATTGGAGACAATACTAATTTCAAGAATACTGCAGATGAAGGATTAAAATTTAATTTGTTTCTCAGCTGAGAAAATAGAATAGCCCACAAGCTATTCTGGAATACCACTAGCCATAAGTTCCAGACAGTTTGGAAAGAGCATTCAATCTAATTCAGTATCCAGTCCCTGGCACTGTCTACTGCCAGATGCTTCAAAACACGTAATTCTCTATCTTTGTAGTCTCCACCAAAATGACATGCTTGCAAGTAAAACCTTTAGTAATTTTTTTAACACCTTCAAAACTTGCCAAACAAGTCTCCACTCAAATGCTTCAAAAACAATTCTGCTTGGGAGGATAATGTTGCTACATATAGCCTGTCCTGAAGTGGCTTTTCTCCATTCCAGCCACGCCACTCTGTAGAGGGTGTTTGGCTTTTAGTCTGTCCTATGGACTGAGATGCCACATCTTAGGAGAACCCAACAAAGCCTGACATTAAGCTATACAATCAATCAGGCTGTTTAACCATCTCACTCAAGGCTCTCATTCTGTGCTGTTTCTAAATCCTTATAGGCACTATAATTAACAATATTCCTTCAGAGATTTAGCCATTTTTACAGTTTGATTCAATGACTCTTTCAAGAATTTCTGTAGAGAACCATCTAAGAAGCAATCTTCAGTTAAGGAGTTAACACAATCAAAAGGCAGATATACATAGTCAAGCCATAATCCAGCCTAACTTCTTTCTCTGAGTGTAGCCAGCTTTCCTGCATGTTTGCAGTGGGTTGACCCAGTAAGCAGCTCAGGACTCACCCAACTCCCTGTGGGACAGGGAAATCATAGGAAGAGCGAAAGTGAGAAAATCCACAGGTCAAGATGAAGACAGTTTAATGAGAGAAGGAAAGAGAAAAACCCAAGTGATGCAAAAGCAATCACTCATCACCCCCTTTGAGCAGAATGATGCCCAGCCAGACTCTGAGCAATGGCTGCTTGGCAAGACCAACCACCCTTTAATGCTGAGCATGACATTATGTGGTATGGGATATCCCAGGTCAGCTGGGGCAGCTTTCTTGGCTGTGCCCCTTCCCAGCTTCTTTCTCCTCCAGCCTGCTTGCTGGAGGGCAGTGGGGTGATGGTGCAGGGGACACGGAGAGAAATGGGGACAGCCCTGATGGTGTGCAGGACTGGTCAGCATGAGCCCAGCCATTGGTGTGCTCCCAACTCTGTTCAGTCACAAATTGAAAACACAGCTCCACACAGGCTGCCATGAAAAGCATTGAATTCCAGGCAGAACAAGCACAGTGTTACTTCCAACAGGCCACACTTTGATATTGCATTTGGCTTACTGCTCCTTAGTGTTATCCTCTGATTTTATTATTTGTCCTGAATTAAGGATTTATAAGTGAAGCAACGACCATGAACCATCCAGAGATTGGTGCACATCTAAAATGGAGATTTTCATTGGTGGCAAGCAAACCTCTGCAGCTAAAAAATTGCCCTTGTAATCTAAAGCATCCTTCATCTCTGGTCTCTCCAAGGACCAGAAGCCAGAGAAGTTGAGCTCTTTTTCAGAAGCAGCTCCACCACAGCTGCTGGGAGAGCTGACAGGCCCCATCCAGATCTGCTTCCAATGAAGGCATGTCATCTATTCCCTGATTCCCCTCCTTTCTAAAACTTTTTTATTCCTGGAGAATATTTATGGTACCAGTTACAGAATGGCAAACCAAACAACTCCACCTCTGGGCAACAGAATGACTTTTAACCCTGCTCAGCTTTGCCTTGTCATATGCTTGACAGTAATAATTAATGACACCCTAGGGATGTAGGTATCCTCTGCTACAGTCAGAGAGAAAGCAAGCAGTACTGTGGCACACCTCCTTGTATTCATATCCTGGTAACATTGCAAAGGCAAGAGGCTAAAGCAGGCACAGACATACTGCTCTGTGCTGAACCCATAACCTCAATTTGTCAGTTTTTTGGATTAAAAAATATTTACATTCACAATCAGAAAATGAATAGCAGATTCTTATTTGCAGTGTCCCTGAGAAGACTTGCTCTGACTTCCACACCAAAGCAGGTACCCATGTGACCTTCATGAGAAGTCCTTCACATAAACCATGGGCAGCTGCCAGGTTTGAAATGCAGGATGGACCACACAGAGTACAGGCAAGTCCTACTGAGGACACAGTGACTTTGAAGAGGTTAGAGACATGGCACATGACCAAATGGATATGCAACTTCCCAGCCAGAGCAGCTGCTGATGCAGAAGATGATTCTTTTAGTATTTTAAAGGTTATTAAATCAGAAAACGTATTACACCTGAGTAGGACACCTATGGTATTATTACAGGAATAATATGTGCAACTCTGAAACCAGATTTGGAAGGACAGAAAGAGATCAAGAGTCACAAAAATGAGACAGAGGTCAGGAAAGCATGTATTAAGATCATTTACCTATTTATCAAAATTAAGATGTGTATTAGATGAATGACAGAAATGAGATTCTTATTCTAGAATAAAAAATGTCTGGATTTAATGCCAGATGATTTTAAAATGGGAATAAGGTGAAATTAATTAAAAACGGAACATCCTAAAAAAAGGCAAGTTACCTTTCATCACATGAAGTCCTCAAAGATAAAATACTATACTCTAAATCAACCTAAAACTATTTGCTTGGTGCAGTTATCACTGGTTGAAAAACTAGATGCTATTCAGAAATTCAGGCCAGATAGCTACAGTGCTCCATCGGTCATTAAAATCACGACTCAGTAAAGATTCCTGGAGAATGCATGTTACATCCTGTATTATCCTTGGGACTTTTTTTCTGGTTAGAGGATCAAAACAGAAGAGATATAGCAAAATAATCTTCCTTGTATGCAGAAAATATCTACCTAGTTAAACAAGTAAAGGTTGGAAGTGTTTTACGAACAGAAGGAATCCACTTGGAAACCGTCATTTACATGACATGATTACATACTGGCTCTGGAGTACAGAGCACACATTCTGTGACTGTCAGGTGCTTTTCTAATTACTGTATTCATGGGCAGAATAAATGCTATGATTGCAACATGACAGGGATGAATTGTTGACAAAGTAACAGAAATTCACTACCTGTGTATGCAAGAACATTAAGTACTACATGCATTTTCTTAGTATGTCTATCATCAAACAGCCAAAGGAAATACAATGAATGCTTCTTACTGAAAACCATTTCCTTGAAACAACTTTGAGCTTAAGGAGTGAAAACTCTTACCTGCAAACATATTGCCAGGTTTACTCTACAGCCAAGTGATGTGCTGACAGCCCGTGGATGGAGACCCAGGTCTTTAAATAACTTTGAAAATGACTGAGTAAGAGCTATCCGAGGTCGTTCTTCAGCCACTACTACACACGTCCGTACACGTGAAAGGTCCAGTCCCCTTGCCTAAAAAGAAGTCAAAATGTAACAAAGGCCACAAACGGGCAGGTTTAATGCAAAACAGAAGTTCTTAAGTGTATTATGCAGGTAATATGATTCAAGAGGAACAGCAGAACAGAGGCTAAGGTATCAGGACAGTTTCCATTTTTCCTGGAGCCCAGATGGCCAGATGACACTCTAATAGCTGAAGAAGCACATACTTGCTTGTCATCTCAACATTAGCACATAGGAAATGATGGGCATGCTAATTCTGAAGGGAGGGAATGCTATTTCCCCAAATTAATTCAGGCGACAGTGAATAACAGAAAACAGGAAGCAATGTCTAGACTTGGAAAAACTGATTAGGAAATTATTAAGAGAGGATGGTAAAGGCTGGAGACATCATAAATATAAGCATCTCAAGATTCAATTTATTTCAGTAGCACATGGGAAATTCCAGATTATTTCAGATATTTAACTGGCCACCTGGCTTTAAATTTCTGGGGGGAAAGGGAGATTTACCCTCCTGTCCATACGACATGGACCATCTAGTTAAAACAACACAGGTACTTTTAAGCATGTGATTATTTAACGATAGAGGTCAAAACCAAACTAATACTTCATATAACCAGGGTATTCATAAAACACACTGTACAATGTAATACTCCTTAAGCCTCTTGGCCATTTACACCTCTGTTTTCCAACACTTGCCTATCAACATAGGCTGCAACACACATCAGAAAGCTTAGGTAAATAAAAGCCTTTCCTTGATGTTTAATAGCCCTGTGATCTGAAGAATGACTAGTATTGCTACACAGCCTTTGGCAAGGAGCAAAGTGGGTTCTGTGGAAGCTGCCTGTGCCCTTTGATGATTTTTTTCCTCCCAGCAGACACTCAGCAGAATGTTCAAGGCTCCCAAGCCCACCGTGCAGGCAGCGGGGCGTGCAGGAGAGCAGAACCACTCACCTTCAGCGACTCTGTTTGCGAACCGAGTCCCTTAGTACAGAGCTCCATGACTGAATAGGAACAAAAAGTGTCTCTCACTTTGTACTGACTCACGGCAAGAAGCCACAGGGCAGGGTTGGTCTCCAGCTCTGAGGGAGGGATCAGAATAGACTGGTGGCCTGAATAAACGCTGCAAGACACAAGATTCATGAACACACACTAAGCACCCGTGTCCACAGACGAGCCATGGCGTAGGTGAATTTACAGTTTATCACAGCACTGGCTGGATCATGTAAAGCCTCACAGTGCTTCACAGCTCCAGAAGTTTAACATAATGTTTAACCCTATTTTTTTGCTGTTCTTGCAGAGTCTATGATGAGTCACAAGGACAGTAGGCAGCATGTGCTCCTAAACTATTAATTCACTTAAAAATCTAGTGGACTTTGCTGTTAGGACTGTACCAAAAAGAGCAAAATAGCTCAGTTATTGTGTGAATAAGTGGTGTAATAATATTAAGAAAAATTAAATGCTGCTGAAAAATACATTGGATTGAGTAATTAGTTTTTTAAGAGACCTTGACTAAAAGAGTACTTTATTACTTAATATGGAAGTAACCTGCCTCCTGCTAAAGCAAGCAAGACATCTGCAATAATTTTCAAGGGAGTAAATTTGGCCCTAATTTAACATCCCTTGTAGTTTTAAATTTCTTCTGTGAAAGTTTTATGAACTTCTGAAACTCAAATATGCTACATCTCTTGAATACTGGATACCCACTAAGCATAAATATTGCAAAAATACAATTATCAGGGTCCCTGAGGGAAAAATCATGTCAGAGCTAATTTCACTGGTACCTAAGAATCTCCCCAAGGGAAAGATATTCCCAATTTGATGACTTTATTTCCCATGGGTTCTATGTTGTTCACTCATCTCACACAGGCAGATTTACCATCAATTTTACAGTCCCCTCTCATCTCAATTTGTGATCTGTAGATATTTCAAATCGGAATGGTGACAGCGTACAGCCTCCAAATCATAGAAGTTCTGAGAAAGGACCATAAAAGCCTCCAAGATTTATGATGCATAAGAGAATCTCATTTGTGACTTGAAAACTTGAAATGCCAGCTTGGTAAAGTAAAGTCAATGTTTTCAAATGCAAGTGTCTGAGGTAGGACATGAAACGGAACCTTATTTTCAGGAATATGAGCATCTCTGTCACACTGGACATCAGGCACCTTTGCAATTCTTGCAGATGGGCTGCACACACACACACACACACACACACACACACACACACACACACACACATTCCCTCCCCATTTTCCCCAAACCCAGATGAGAGTGCTTTCAAAAGCTGTGCCATGTAGAACGAGGTTTGTGTGACCTGGATGTCTTTACTTGGCACAATAAAGGCAAAAGAGGTGAACAAGTCCAGCCACAACAGCAGTTAATAATTCAAATTGTTTAGGTCTCCACTGAAGTATGAGCCTGAGGATGTCATGGAATATGTATGAACTACAGTTCAAGCAATTTCATTTATCACAGAGGAGAAATTGTATCTTTGACTGCTTGTCCCCATTTATGCCACACTGGGTGATTGATGAGCAGTGGCTTGCTGTGGAGTGATGTGTTCTGCGATGGGGCTGACACGGTGGCCACGCACGGGGCGGGCAAATGAACCATTACCCTTTCATGGAATCAGAATGAAGTATCACTGAACCTTGAGCATGTGCTGCATAAACATGTGGAAAGAGATCTTGGCAGCATTACCCACACCTGAAAGGGGAATGCCCTGAACTCAAGCAAAAGATCAAACCAGCCAGGGAGTTGTACCAATTTTTACTATAAATATTACCTCACTCTTTTATTCTCAGCAAAGTCTATTAAGTTTTTCAGAGAAGTAAGACCAAAAGCCTGCTTAGGACTCAACAAACAATCAAGGTGTGCAATCTGTCTGGCAAATACATAATTCTTACAAACAGGAAGCAGTAATCATTCAAGTAAAAATCTGAGATGGCCTCCAATCTGTACAAATATGGTATACAGAGATTCACCTTCAAACCCTTCCCCCTGACCCTGAATTTCTCTAATTGATGCAACCAGTATCAGGTGAAAAAGTTATCTGCACAATAATAAACATGATGCCAAGGTGTCAAATGTGGGAGAACTATTACAACCACATTAAGATCCCTCAGGTATCACTTATTCAACTGGGCAGACATACCAAAATCAAAACCAAATCAAAAGAACAAACTGTATCTCTGTACTGAAAAGTGTTTGCACAAACTCCACAGTAATATTTGAGAAGAAAACTGCATTGCTGCATTGGTAGGAAAACAGAAAATTGATTCCAAGTGTATTTTACCAGAAAATCATTCAAAATAGCAGAATTTACACCAAAGACAAATGTTTTTCCCCTTAGCAACACTAATGTGTGAGGGTGAACTGTCTACATGTCTTGATCAACTTATGGACAAGAAAGTGGTTTTCACAGAATTCACACAGAATAACTGGGTTGGAAGAGACCTTAAAGATCTTCGAGTCCAACCCATGCCCTAACACCTCAACTAAACCACGGCACTGAGTGCCACATCCAGTCTTGTTTTAAACACATCCAGGGATGGTGACTCCACCACCTCCCTGGGCAGGCCATTCCAGACCTTTATCACTCTACCAGTGAAAAACTTCTTCCTAATATCCAACCTATATTTCCCTTGATGCAGCTTCAGTTTGGCTCCCACCAACAGTCCTGCAGCAAAGCATGAGAATCTGGATGCAAAATAACCCAAAACCTTCAGACTGAGGGAAACAAATATTCTTATGATCAGGCTTAGACTAAAAAAATTACTCCAATTAGACTTAAACAAATTAAGATATTGCTAGTATGTTTTCTGAGTTTTCTAATGCCTCAAAAATACTGTGGAGTTCAGGATCAAACTGCACAGCAGAAGGAAATATCTAGCAGGAAGAAAACTATCTGTGGTGGAGAGCCTCACACGTGCTGCTCTTGACTGCAATACACAAACTTAAAGCCAGCTGATACCGTGCCTGCAAACTTCACACCCAGCACAGGCTTTGCCTACTGAGCTGTGGTTTAATAATCCATGCACATCCTCTGATTTGCAAGAGCAGTTGGTGGAGCTACAAGAAGAACGACAAAAGCATAATTGTGGGGTGAATGTGCCAGTTCCACAGCTGAAGTGGTTTATGCAGCACCTGGTCACCACGACGTCGGCCATCATTTGGCTCAGCTCCCTGAATCAATCTCTGAAACATTACACAGAATTTGTGTATCTGTCCAAGCCACAAAATGTTACATATCCCTGAAAATTCAGGGATTTATATTCCACTGAGAAGTTGTCTATCACCCATGTTTTGGTAAAGAAAAAGCTGAGGAAAAAATACCCCCGTGCAGCAGGTTGAAGTATTTCCTACCATTTGAGCAGTTTTAAACCATTGTGAGATGTTAGAGGGTGCTTGCTTAGCATGAATCCCAAACGTCACAAAGAGGTGCTTGAACAAACTAAAGTTGTGCAAAGCTGCACTGGAGGCGCTGGATGAAGCTTGATATGGTTCCAAACCTACAGAAAGCTTTGCCAATGCTGCCTCCATGTAATTCTAGGAATGGCAGAGAAGTTTGGTAGGTTCAGCCTGGTATGGAATTCTAGATTTGGTAGAGTTAATTCTGAAGCAGAGGTACTGAACAAGGTGAGGTAGTTCCATCTCACCTTGAAACAATGGTAGTTAAGATGGTTAAGCTGTCAGCTTGGGAACCAGCAAAATAATGGTGAACACTGGCAGCAGGGGGATAAATGGGATATTAGGAAAAACATAGGAGTTTAAATATGAACAGTTGAACTTAAATTCCCTTGTCTGAGATTGCAACAATATATGATACAATGGACTAGGTGTAAGATTTTACTTATGTAAATACTGTGAAGGAACTGTATCAAGATTGTCACAAAAGTATCCACCTCCCGATGCAGGTCTTAACATCAGGAGCAGACACAGTGCAGAGCATCCCTGGATCACCTTTTGGGATGCAGATGCAGAGTGAAATGCAGGGGTGGCTGAGATGCAAGATCACCTTTTAGAAATGCTGTCTTCCTTTAGAATACTGCAGAGCAATCCAGGGGAAAAAAAAAAGTATTCACGTAGTGGACAAAGCCTTGGATTTTATCAGTAAGTGAAGAGCCCTGTCTGCCTGCACTAAGCAAGGGCTGCTCAAGGACAGGAACACTCCAGGTAAAAGCTCCAGGATGTATTTTGGTACGATGGCACCATCTGATCACAGCACTGGCCGTGCTGTTCTGGCAGCATACGGAGACTCCTGGAAGGACCTCTTGGCACTCCACTGCTCCACTGAATTGGAGCTTTAGCCCATATTGTGCTGAGGCAGATCAGCAGTAAAAGCTGAGGTTCTTTTATAGTTCCAAACATTTCAGAAGGTCAATAAATGCTGACAATGGCAAGTGCAATTTGCAATTGCATTCTGGCAGTTACTGACCCATCACTGCCCTGACTCCTGTGTCCTTGTCGGGTGACATGAGCTGCTTCCCCACTGCCCTGGAGGAGGCAGGTGGGTACTGCTGAATCCTGTAAGTGTTTGCATTTGGTTTCTGCATTTCTACAGATGATATTTAGCACTTGGTGATGAGGGACAGGTATGGGAACTGGGTGTTTGGTGGAACAAAAGTCTTCACAATTACCTGGACCAGAGCTTGTAGGAAGGACAGTACAAGCTATAGAGGATAGTGTTAGGGAATATATCTCTCTTAGGCTTCAAAAGACTTGGGCCAAAATTAAATCTTCAGTTCTGGAGATCCAACAGATCTCAGGCACATAGTGCTCTAAGAGCATGACTACACATTGCAAGCAGATAATCCATGAGTACCAGAGACAGCAAAAGGCCATTGCTCAGCCTTGAGCATCATTCTGATTCCTTATCATCATCTCTCCTGCCTCACTTATACCCCATGTATGGGTATGCCTCCAGAGGTGATGGGGTAAGTCTGCCAACTCATCTCAAAGCTCACGTATCAAGGTGACTCAGGGTGTTCAGCTGCCCTTGAACTTTCCAGGCTTGAGGCAGGTTTAACAGTACTGATGTAATGTGGAAGGAAAGCAAATTGCCTCTTCCACAAATTGCCACTGGCTACAGACTCTCCAGGAAACTGGCACACAGCAGTGTGTGGGCAGACAACACACCTTCACACTCTTTCTGTGCCAGTTATGCACTTTGCAAAATACATGACAGATGTTTATGTTCATATCACTTCCCATGTCAGAGTTATCCAGTTCTGATGTGGCATTTAGACTTCTTTATGCAGTCTTGCCTTTAATTTGCTGCACATGGGCTGGAAACTGCATGAAATGCTCATGCCTGCCAGTTACCTTTAAGTTAGCCTAAAAAACCTAACAATAATCAGTGATTCCTACCACCATACACTTCCCTAAAATGCAGTTCTCTTGTCGATATTGCAATCCTTTGCTTACTTCTTGCACAGTTCCATCTGACTGGTTACTAAGAAACCTTGCAGTCTTTGTGCAGCAGAAGCCACCTGGCAGCACCACTGTGGATTTTAGCTTCATGCTATGAAACAGAGGCAGCAGGAGCAGGACAGGAGAAAGTACCTTCCATGGAGAGCCTTCCCTGGACCATTTCATAAAAGTCATGTTATTTATTGCATGGCTGCTGGAGACCAGAAAATTCTGTTCCTCTGGTCCAGTCTTTCTCACTGACTTACACTTGACAGGTTCTGTTTCTGAGAATATAAATAAAGTTTATTTAAAACTATTAATGTACTTAATTTGTACATTAATTTGTACATTAAGCAAGGACAATTCTGTCTTCCAGCAGTAAAAGTAGAATTGCAATTTATGTTGGCTTAGCTGGGCTAAAGTAGAGGGAAAATTCTTATTCTATTGCATTACTCATCAACTATCAATTAAGTGAATCCCACTAATGAACTGCAGAATGCTGTATTCTGCCCCACAGTGAGAAGCATTAAGACAGGGTCATCTTAATTTCAGGAAGCATTTCTGAACAATGGGATTTAGTGTTAATTTTTTTTACATTTGAGGAAATTTTTTTTTCCTTTAAAAGAATATAATACATTTTAAAATGTAATGCAATACAAGTCAGAACACTAGGATCACCTTCTCAGAATGGATAAATGAGATTATTAAAGAGAAAAACCATAAAGATAATGTATTCTTTTATTGAATCATGAGTAAGAACTTGGTAAAATTAGGAAGTTAGGGGCTTGTGAACTCACATGGGGCTGCTGTCTGCTGCCACACCCAGGACTTGCTGTTCAATGGCAAAGGTTCCAAGGAAACCCTGCTGGAGCATGCAGCCACTTTAGAGGGACCAGTTCTTTTTAATGTATTGCTCTGCTTTGCAAGGTTTCTTTTCTTTATTATTTTATAACCTTTAGGCCATAAAATAATAAATTTAAAAAAAATAAAAAACTTTGCAAAACTATGCAATATATTCCAAACTTACCAAAGGGCTGGCTCCATGCTCCAGCAGCTTTCCTAAGTAGCTTTGACCTCACAGAATGGGGCATTCTGGGGCACCGCAGTGGAGCAGGCCAGCACAACATCTAAGCACCTACAACGGGGATAAAAGGTTAGTTTTTCTTTCAATTCCTTAGCCAATGCCTCCTTTGGTCTAGTTAATAAAGGAATTTAAATGTACTTTTAACTGCACCCAGCACAGGAGGTTGTTCTTGCTTCCTGCTGGGCTCCAAAAACAAAGAGTTCCTATTTAACTCTCAAAAGCCCCTAACTTATAAAAAATTGAAGATCAAACTTCATTTCCATATGCCATTAGAAATATTAATTTAGTAAGTGGAAGTGGTGACAGACAATCATAAGTTTAGAGTAAAATTCTTTGAGTTAGAAATCTGGTTTGAAATGTTGGGCAGGATCCAGTTATGCTGAACCTCAAAGGGTAAAATGCAAAGTCACAAAATTTTAAGTCATGAGGAGAAAGGGCCTTATAAACTCCAGGATGTATTTTTTCCCTTTCACATCAAATAATACTAATTTATAAAATAGTAATGAAATGGAAATTAGATTCGTAAGTGGAATTAATTGGGCTGTATCTGATTCCAGTTTTCTCCAAATTACAATTGCTATTCTAGCAGTTTTTCTGATTTAATAGGAACAGGGGATCAGTGGCAAAGAAGAGATTGATGTGAAGGTTCATAAGACTAGAGTGCTGCTGGCCTGATCTCAGTTCCTTCAAATCCCTTGTCTCCTTTATCTTCTTTGAAAATGGTATATAAAATTTTCTATTCCTTCTGTAAGCTACAAATGAGCACGGACTCTGCTTTCTCCCAGAGGCTTGCAGCCTTAATTCACTTGTCAGTCATAAACAATCTTCTCCTTCTGAAAGGCTGAATACTATCAGTATTGGGAAGGACCTAAGGGCAGCAAACACTTATTTGTTGGAAAAATTATTCTGGAAGGAAAAAAAAAATTTGCATTCAGGAGAGTCTTGGGCGCCACAAATTATTTGGGTTTTGGACAGATCAACATTTATCTGTTTTATGGCTCTATCATGATGTTGCATAGAAGTTATTCCTGGATGCTCTCTGTTCCATCACTATCCTATACAGTGATACATTCCTTAGCTGAGACTCCTATGGTGCTGCACAGACGTTCCCTGGTCTAACAGTTCTGACATCAGCAGATGCTGGAACACTCAAGTCTTTACCAGAAATAGTCAGCTGACTTTAAAAAAACAACATTTAAAAATTAAACTTAAAACAGTTACTTAATTAAAATCTCACAATTTCTGTAGGGTATTTTTGCAGCCTCAATAGTTTTATGTTGGTTAAATAAAACACTGAAAACCCAAAAGTTTTTCAAAACAAAGACAACTGTAATCCCTATGTAAAATCCAAAACAGTATTAGGCAAGTATAGCTTAAATCAAGAGAAACTTATCAACAATGAATAAGATAATACCGTTAATCTTTAGCCTACTTAAAATTTAATAACAAGTATTTTTAAAAGGCAATAAACTGTGTCAATAGCCTGCTTTTAAATAAACAATAATTGCTGAAAAGAAATTGTTGTAGTTGTTATCAAATAATATTTCCTTCAAGTATTTAGTAAATTGGTACAAAGTTTATCCAAAGTATTTTTAATGCCGTGGATTATCTTCATTTTAGCAACTAAAAATAGCAGTACTGCTAACACCAAAGAACTTTCTGTGAATAGAGCAAAGATGTCAGACCACTGTGACTGAGATGCCTTCATCAAAATGGGCTCCATTAACACTCCCACAGTTCTTTTCCTTTGCGTCTGCATCAACCCAGCTAACTTAAAAAAAAAACCAATAGACCTGCTTTCAGTGCTGAACTGTAACTTCCCTGGAGTATAGAGATTGACAGAAATGTTATATTTCCAAATTTATTAACCAAAAAAGCTGATTCACATTTCACTAGAAATGTTTTGTTTTCTGATAACTTTACTACTGCCATACTAGTACCTGCAAGAAAACACACTTTTGTGTCTCTGCAAAAATCACATTGTGAAAGTCTCACAAATGGGAGAGTCCCTGATATCTACTCCTGCTTTCAGCTTAGAGAAGAAAAAGAGGACACAATTCCTTAAGGTAATATTGGTAAAGCACTGTTTTCATCAAATAAAACCAGCCAGGCTCTGCAGAGCCAGCAGTGAAGCAGCAGGAGGTCAATGAGCAGCCGTGTTGATGCTCTGTACGTCCAAGTCTAAACACCTACAGCCATGCCCTGCTCAAACAAACCACACCCACCACACAGCGGCTTCCAGCAATTCCAATTCCAAATCCCACTGCCTGTGGCACTCCCAGAGGTGCTGTCTGTTCCTCCCATCCTTTCATCACTCCCATCATCCGTTCCGTTGTGCCACAGTACAATGGAAACTGTTTTTCAGAAAAGGCTGAGGTGAAGCCTCACCTGCAGAGGCACCAGAGGACAAACCCAAGTCCACAGTAGGGGTCCAAGCAGATTGCGACTTCCCGGGAGGGATAAAGCTCACACTGCAGCTTAATAGAACGACAAAAGGCACTAGTGGCTGCATGAGACATCTGAAAGACAACAGCAAAGCAATTAAAATGATCAACTGTGTCATTGGAAGACTCGCTCCCAGACTGCACCAAGTGCTCACATCAATTACAGGATAAAAACACTAAATAAATATTGACTTTATGCCCACAGGTAATTTATATCTTAGAAAACATAGTTTTCCTTCAAGAGGGCATCCACATAATTGTGAAAGGGGAGATGAGACAGAATGGATGGTAAGTTTGAAGTGATTTAGGAAGAAAGTTGTGAGTGGTTTAAAGATGTACTCCAAGCTGTATGCAAAGCTAATGATAACATGCTACACTTTCTGCAAGAATAAAGGAATGAATGACTGAATGAAACACTTTGTCGATCATCAGTAATATATTTTAAAGTATGTATTTCTTAAAAATATAAATTAAAAATGCCAAAGCATTTTTTAAATTGGTAGGGATTTTGCCAGCAAAACAGTACTAAGGTTCTAATCATTCAGCAATAAAAATCCCCAATAAACCTAGTAAAGTTTCTGTAAATTAACATCTGTAAAATATCTTCATGTTATCCAGCTCCTAGTTGAGAAACAGGCTCTTAAAATCTTGGTAAGGAAGCTTTCAAAGATAATATAAGCAGAAAGTAGAAATAAAAAAACCTGATCCAAAGGAAATTATTCTGATTTTTTTCCTAGTTTTAGGATGCTTTCCACACTCATCCACCCTGACTTACAAGTTCTAATGACAATGGAAGCAGGAAAATATCTTTTAATGTTTCTCCTCTCTATTGGTAACAGGAAAGACACCAGTGTTAGAAATACAGTCTGGATAGGAGTTAATCTATCAAAACTTTGATCTCTGCCACACAGGGAGCTGGTTGCTTTATACACTGCTCACTGAGAGTAATGGAGGAAAAATGGGCATTTGGAAGGTAAAATTTATTTGATCTTAAAGTAAACAGGGGAATAAATCTCCAGAAGTGATTTTTTCTCCATTCCAATGACAGCCATAACTGAGGCTGGATGTGGTCCAAGTGATGCAAAAGGACCAGCTCTGAATGGGGTGTGTGGTGATCATCTGCAGCCTGCAAATTAATTCTACTCCAGCTGAATCAAGACCACTTTTCCACATTGGATTAAACTGAACTCTGTTGATATAGAACTGCTGTTCTGTGAGTTTTTACACCATACTGCATATGAGCAATTGAAAATATTGAGAGTAAATGCAAGTGGAATCTACTACTTTAAAAGTGATTAGAAAACATTTATCAAATTTCAGGAGCCACAGGAGTTATTTAGCTATTTCTTTTAATTTAGTACACTATGAATATAAGCCTTGTAGCCTCTTTTGATCATTTTATAATTAATTAATCACTAGTGATGATGTAGTAGATGGTAACTGTTTACATAAACCTGCTGAATCAGTGACCTGCAGGCTCTGTGACCCAGATATTAGAAGCTAATAAAGAATTCCTTGATAGATTTATCTGTATTTTCCCCTAGCCACACTAAGAAAGGCTCATGGACTTGTCCTGACTTTGACTATCTTTGAAGTTTCCCAAATACTCACTTTGCATAGTTAGTAGTCATTTCTGCAAGTCTGATAAAGTGTAATCCAGACCTGATTTAATACAGATGACTGCATCTGAAACAATCATTTGAGGCTTTCTCTAGAGGAAATGAAGACTTATATGACATTCACGCCTTTAAAAAATAGCTGTTGTAGATAAGTCAGATAAATTACACCCTTAAAGTCCCTGCTTCTCTCTGTCTACTGAAGAGCTCAATGACTACTCCACATCTCTAGGCATTGTAGCTATTCAAAGTTACATGGAATAAATGCTGCAGGAGTGTCCAATATGCTACAGTCAGCCATGTCAATCATTTAACTATCAACCTCAGGCTGGTCACTTCAACAGCTCTGTGCTTCCATCTCTTCACCCAAAAACTGGGAAAAGGATGTTTTCTTTGTTTATAAATTATGCTGACACTTTCTTCAAATAGATGGGTGATACTAAGGAGTGTGATTCAGCATAGGCTTCAAGTGTGACACACCAGCAGAATTGCTAAAATAATCATAATCCTTGGATATGCAACAAATAGGAGTAAGAAAGAAACAGGTAAGAATAACAACAGAGTGATTTTAGTGTGTCTTGATGAAACCAATAGTGGGATACATAAGTTAGGGAAAACAGATTTGATGAATTGTGGCTAAAAGGCTGGAGAAAATGGCAGAATCTATTTCAAGAGCTCAAAAGGCCTCATCTTAGCAAACAAATCTATCAATGAATTTTTGCAGCTTACTCTAATACTATACTGGGTGAATATACAAAGAAATCATCAGGGCCCTTAATTACAAGGAGAAAAGAATATTGACCACCAGTGGCCACTAGCTGAGTTGCAAAAGAAGGGAGCAATTCCAGGGGCACTGGAACAAGCAGAAAAAGGATGACAGTCTCATTTCCTTCTTAAAATGGGAATAACAGATGCCCAAGCTGAAAAATGCTTCAGGCAGACAAACTAATGGTCTACGCACAGGAGTAATGGAATGAAATTTTTAGTTTGAGGAGGAGGAGAGGGGCTAAACCCACCACACACAGTCCTGTATCAAGTAGAGAAGAACTAATTTAATGTCAATGGATTCAAACAATGTCTGCATGGAGGAAGTACTTAAATTCCTGCTTCCAAAAATCATGAGGAATCACAAATTAGGAGCAACCACCTGCCAGCCAGGCAGGATGGCAAGAAGGGCAGCTTTAACAAGAAGTCCCTACCTTTACCCCTGCCAGCATGCCAGTGGTGGAGACACTGAAGTCAAGGTAAGCAAGTGTTTCAGGGTTAGAAGGTTTGTAGATCTGTGCAGGCCGCTTCTTTGGCAAATCGTCTGGTGGAGACAGAGACAGAAACGTGTGTATGTCACTGAGGAGCCCAGTGACAAAGGAGACACAGCTCCCCTGGCCCCAGCACTCACCTGTGTCTAGGACCGGGGGCCATGTCCTGATATCCACCGCTGCCGCCGCCTCTCGCGACCGTAACAATTTACAAATTAATTGCGTGGTCATTAAGCAGGCAGAGCGACTCACCTAGAAATTCAAGAAATAAATAAAAACACAACGGGATACTAATTAATTCCCCCGTGAAAACGGGCAAGACCGTGACTTATTTTCTGCGAGAACAGGACACAGGTATATCAACTTTATGTTTTCTGACGGGCAGGTGGGAAGATGCTCAACAATGCAGCTCACAAAGTCATGTGAGTTTTACAACTTACATGAAAACTGTACTTTGAGAAGAGCATTGTAATGACATTAAAGGTGCCTTAATAGTGAAAGTGTGACCTTTCCAGCACATTGTATCAGCTTTCACCCCAAAGTGCCAGTAAAGAAGACTGTGTCCAAAAGATTTCTTATGTGACAATAACATATCTTGGTTCATAAATAATATTTTCAGATAAACCAAAACCTAGTCTGGCATTTTATATTAATAATTTTGCTATCTTAAGTCAATTTTATGTCAGCCATGTATTTCCAGTTCCTGAGCTAGTGATAAACCACTGGGAGCTGTTCTGATATTGGCAAAATTAGCTCTAGAACAGAAATTGTGGAAGTAGCACTAAGAAGTGAAATGCTGAGCTTGCAGCAAATTCCATCTGCACCAAACTTTGAATGATAGATGCTGAATTCTCCTTTTAGATTTGCTGTTCTTAAAAGTTCATAGGTATCAACTAAAAGAATATTGCTCACTTAATGAAAATACTTCTTATTCATATTAATAAAAATTAATATGCTTAAGGAATTCAGGCAAACATGAATAAAAGCACTGAAATCACTGAAGATAAAACATGTGAAAAACTGGAAAGGCAACATTTTTTTCTTTTCCCCAAACTCTGAAAATCTGTGCAAATGCTGCTAAGAGGTTTTTTTTATAAGGAAAATGAAACATTTCATGGCACTCTAAATTTCCTGTGTTTAAATTAATAAAATCAGGAATCAGTAATCATTTTACCACTGAGCAGAAGAGAACATCTTCTATTGACAGTGATCTCATGGGAGTCAATTTTTAGAACACCAGAAATTTGGACATTTTGAAATTTGGAGCAAACATCACTGGATCAAACTTCAATATCTTGCCACTCTAATCCCATGATTGCCCTGTACAGACTGTTTAAATACTTCAAGATAAAAGCGAATACAAACAAAGTCACTGCATCACCCCTTAATCTATTTTCATTGTCATGGCGAGGCAAATTAATTCTTACATCACTAATCTTAATCCATGAAAAATCTTGATTTGGGACATTAAACCATAAACAAAAAGAATTTCAAGGGTTGGTGGTTCCCAGCCCCCTCAGGAATGACATAATCTGGATGATCAGAAAGCTCACTAAAATACAGAATATCCATGCCTGGAGAATTCCACATCAGAGGTAAACACACAGGGAAAGTGGGAAGGAGAAAGAACACAGTCTAGTTACAGGTTAGGAGCTGCTCAAGGTGGGGCTCAATTCAGTTAGATTTTACAACTACCAGCTCATCACAAAAACACAATTATGCAGGCCAAATTTTACTCAGAAGTAATTCTTACTGACTTCAAAAAGTGCTGTGCAGACATACAACATGTTACAGCAGGCATTGACCCCATCCCTTCAGGAGATTTGTGTGACTGCATTGGCAGTGAAAGGACAGCTGTAGTATTTTAATTTCTACAAGACCATTAATCTCAAAATTGAAATAAATTCTTGTGTAAAACAAAGCTGAGAGGTTTATAAGTCAAACTGGCATTAATATGTCTAATAAATGTCAACATTTTATCTAAAGGGACAACGGATACAAGCAAGCTTAGATCTGTCAGTTTTTTACCATGAAATCAAACATCTAGTTTAGCTATTAAACATCAAAAGAGAAAGAAAAAACACATTTTACACCACTTCTGTCTGTTAACAATTGATGTTTAAAAACATTGAGTGCCAAAATATTCAATAACAAGAATCCTGAAAATAATAGAACAATTTTTTCATACCTCTTCTGATACTTTGTGGCATCTGATGCCATAAGGAAAACCAAAAATTACAACTATCTCTACTACTTGTTAATTGAAAATATCAAAATTAATTATCAATGGTTAAAACACATTTGTTTAAACTGGTTTCTTCAGAATTATAATCAGTAAATTAGAAACTGCCCGATGTAAAGGGCTATCTAATTTCAACTATTTTTACTTCCCTCAGTACCAAGCACATTGCAGTTATTTATGTGCAACAAAGGTTAAACATTGTTAGATAAAGCCAAAATATCAAAAGAAAGCACTGAAGGAAAAAGTCTGAGTAACAATTTCCTGGATGAAACAAAAGATCAACCAACATCTTCACAACAAAACTTTGAAATTGTTTTAAATGCAGAACAATTGGATATTCAGAGGTGAGTATGCCATCGGGTGAGGATAAACTTCCCACTGAGGTTCTTCTCAACAGTCTGTGAGGAATCCTATGCCTCTTGGTATATAGCTAAATATAAAGAAGCATTTTAAACATGTTTCTTGAAAAGAGTCACGCAACTGGGGCAAAATGTGACAGCTCAGGTGAGCAGGTTGCATGTTGCCCAAGCAGTGTTGGTTTTGCAACACCCTGAACTCCTGAGTCCTCGGAAGGAACACAACTCTTCAACCCAAGCACTCCTCACTCAGCTTACTGCTCCTAAAAACACAAATCTTTCATCAGACACAAGAACTTCATGCACTGGTGCAATCTGAGGTGTGTGCTCACCTCCACGATCATCTTCACGGTGGGCAGGGTGGTGGCGATGTTCTGGGGGTGCGGCGGTCGCACCGTGATTGGCACACAGCCCGCGTACAGGCACCCGTAAAACGCCGCAATCAGGTCTATCCCTGCACGGAGAACAAAGCAGAAAGCCTCAGACAGCTTAATCACAGACTCCTGTGTCAGCATAAATATTACTTGGAACTGAACCCAGAAGGTTAAATGAGCGACTAAGCCCTTTAATAGACTTATTTTTCAGCCCCTTGTCAGTATTTGTTCAGCTTCAGTGATTCCTCCCAGCTGCACCGTTCTGAGCATGAAAAACCTCAGGTGACACACAAACTGCAGCCAGATAGCAACATCTAGGAGAACTCCAGTTTGTTGATCAGGAAGTGTTAAAAAGACTGATTTCTACAGATTGATTATCTTCCTAAATGTACATTTATAGAGTGTACAAGAAGAGGGATGTCAAGCAAAAGGACATGGTAGGGTGATGCAGAAACACCTAGAGGTTCCATAAAATATTGTCTTTCTCTTGCCATTTTTAACTTCACATAGGCAGTCTTGACTTACCTACCTGAAATTTGACAGTAAAGAAGAGAGTAATGATTTTGAAATCCTGCTTCTAACATAAAATTTGGTGCTGTGCCATCTAAATATTGACTGCAGGTGATGGACAGCACCCTTCAGGCTACCTAAGGAGGCTGAACAGACAACAGTTCAAAGATGCCTTGAATACTGCTGCTGGTCACCTCCCTGGTGCTGTACACAACCTATGATAAGATGACATAGGTCATCTTTGGGCTGGTTTATTCTTTCAGTGGAAAAGGATCTGCAGTACTGGTAGGTTTTTGTTACTTCAATAAAATGCTTCATTCATGGGAAGTGAAATACAGAAAACAAACATTTAGGTTTAAAGTCGTAGTCTTCTTTTGTGGAAGATTTTCCCATATTAAGCATTGCGAAACTGCTCCTATAACTACAAAGATATAACCAGTGTCTTGCAGTCCTTACAAGCCAACTATCACATTACAGATCTTAAATCAGACTGTTTATTTCACTAACAGACAAGAAATGTTAAAGATAAAAGAGTAGCACTGGATCAGAAATAATTTCAAGCAAATGTCAAATGTGTTACCAGTTAACACAAACTTAAAAGCCCTGATGCCAAAGAATGAAAATCAAAACCAAGAGAGCTATCTAGATTAAGAATCTATGCAGAGAATTGTAATGACAATTTTGTGTTTCTTAATAATTTGCTACTTATCAATCAAATTTCTATCTAAAAAATCCTCATGTATTACTTCATGGTTATTGTTGCTTTACCCTCATGAAATGCAGCACCTCCAAGAAGGAACTGAACAGGAGAACCTAAAAACACTTGGCAGATGGAATTCCATGCTCGTAAAATTGTCTGTATCCAGCAAATTAAAAAAATAGTAATAGCAGTAATTAAATTTGTCTGCTCATAAGAGACAGGTTTCAAAAACATAGGTTAGTCTTAATCTGAAAGCAAAGAAATAAAACTGTGTGTATGGACGAAGAGAGATTTTTTTAACTACATTTGACTAAAAGGAATGTGCATAAGGCAAACACCTTGTGTTTGACAATTCACATGATGCACACGGTAACACCCCTGCTGCAGCACTGCTCAGAAGGATCTTCATGAACTTCCACCAGCCCCAAGGTGCTGCTACAGCAATTCTTTACCTGGTGGGTAAACCAAAGCCACGTGGTCTCCATCCTGCAAATGTCCCCTCTCCATCAGCATGACAGCTATCTTCTCAGCTCGTTTATGCAGCTGGACACATGTCAGTGAGTTGGCTATTGTTCCCTGCATGGGAAGAAAGATAAATGTCACAGGAGAGAACGTGATGGGCTGAAACTCTATTTTCCTCTTCACCTTAGAAGTTGTGGGATAAGGGGCAGCCACAATATGCCATTCAATGAACTTAAAATATGGAAACATTCAGCCTTAGGCCAAACTGTAATTGGAAGGAGAAAATGTTTCTAAAGTAGAGGAACATTCTCTGTTCCTTTCTCTGAGCCTTCCAACTAGTGTTTCTGCCCCCACCAAGGCAGTACAGCAGTGTGCCAATATCCTGTACTTCCCTTGCTACACAGGCAGCATTCCTGCTGCAGCCAGGGAAGTGCCTCTATGGTCTCTATAGCAAACTGGAGCATCTGTGGAGAGCAATTCTGAAAATTGCATTTTGTTGTCTGCATGCTGGAGTGAAGCCAAGTGGCCCAGCAGAAATACTTTAAAGACAAAAGACACAGGAGAAAACAATACATTGTGATGGAAAAAAGAATTAGTCTGGAACAAAAGATAAGCACTTATATTGCATATAAATGAAAGAGAGAAGAAAGGTATTTGTTAAATTTAAATAACTCTGGTCAGCATGAACTTGGCATTTTTGAAGCATTTCAAATAGTGCAAACCCAAAATTATCTAACAGTCACAGTGTTTTAAATTGAATGAGTGTTACAGTTCTTGCACTTCCTAGATATATATACATGTGTGCTTGTATGCACACACACAAGTACCCATTTAGAGAAATATATGCATCTGTATCACAAAATTCACTACCACTGCAGGCAGACACCTCAAAAGACTAAAAGCAAATGCACAGGACAGACTGGCTGCACCTAGAGCTGGTCAGGCCAGGTCTGGGCTGGGAGAAAGGGACAGGGCAGTATGGGAAGGGCTGCATCTTGGCTTGTGTTTTTGTTCTGCGGAAAAAGAGGAGTTCAGTCTCCAGTACAACTGTGACACACCTGGCATCTATCATAAGCACTAAGCTCACTTAAAAATAAAGTGTTTCTGAAAAAAATGGGGAGGAAAAGGTAAGAATATGTAAATACATATATACTAAAGAAGAACACATAAACACACACTAAAATAGAACAGTGCATCAAAAATGCAATGTAATACAATAAAAAAGTATTACATCACTCTCCTCCTTAAGGGAGAAAGCAAGAAGGTCTACTGTTCTTTACACTCTATTTTAACAAGGCAAAGAACAATAAGTGTTTGTTCTTGTGCTGGTTTCTATCCACCACCACCCCACACACCACTGCAGCGTTTATTGACCAGGCTTCAGGGAGAAGGGAGCAGTTTGCCAAAGGGCAAGCACTACAAGCATTGCCACATTACCAGGATCACCTGGCATTCACAGACTTCATTACAAACTGGCCACCAAGAGCACAGCCCAACTGGAAATAAAACGGACAAAGCCAGGGCTCAGCATTCCTCTTCATCATCCTCAGCAACCCAAATTATTGAATTGCACTTCAGACAGTTTTAATCAGTCTTCTGATCAATGTGGAGACCATTTCACTAAGAAGGCTTCCTCTAAAGACATATGCAACTCTGTGGATGCTGGATCAGAGATGACTTCCATCTGTCCAGCCCTGAGTATGCCAAAGCAACATGAGGTCTGGCTGCCCTATCACTGCAGACCTGTCAGGAGAATGTACCATTCACATAATGTAAATTCTCCATTTCTTCTTTCAAGAAATTGCCTGTTTTCATAATTATGAGAAGAAGGACTCTTTATATTCCCACACACATCAGAAGCATAGGTCCTACCAGCAGATAGGGAATTGCTGTAAATCAAGTGAGTCTGTGCAAAGCTTGTTTACATTTAAGACTTCTGGCACTTGCTGCCTGTGAACCAGTGGGAAGTCACTGTTTATATGAACTGTAGGGAAGGAGAATCCTGTTGTTGGACAAGAATCACTTGCAAGCATCAGGCAACTACTCCCTTTGGGCCTTTAATGAGCTATACTGAAATGTAAAGGTGTTGCAATCCTTCATGACGCACATTAAAAACAATGTACTGCACTGATTTTGAAATATTTCAAATTCTCAAATCTTGGTTTACAGGAAAACACTAATCTCAGTGGACTTTCATTAGTCATCCACTGCAGGATGCCTGAATGTTTTAGAACAAAGTGTACAGACAATGTCCAAGGAAGACAAAATAGGAAAAGTTACAAATCAAAACTAAAATTCAAGATGGGCAATAAAATTTGCCTAGGGCAAACCCCACCAAATCTGTCATAGTTTTCCATAAAATATTTATTCTCTCCAAAAAGCATTATGTCTCAATCAAATTTCATATGATGAGATACTCTTCACTGAGAGTAACGAGAAACTGTATTTTAAAATCCAATTACTCTTCACTTCTATGGAACAGGAATTTGTTTTGTTAATCCTTGTTTTGCACATTGTGTCCTTCCCTTCCCTGTTTGAACCCTTCTGGCAGCATGGGAAGTTTGGCTTTATTTAAAACTCAAAAGCAACAGTCTTGTGTGGAAGAGATGGGATAGCACACATCAACTCTTTCTCACAGCATCTTTGCTTCTAACTTACAGGACACAGCAATGCAGTACTTTAATGGTGTAATACTGAACTTATAAACAGCACTGCCTCTCAATATTTCTACTTTGCCATAAACACTTCACTATTTACCTGTCAGGTTTCACATATTCACAAATATGAGCTATTAATCTGAATTTAAAAAAAAACTTATTAAATTACTTACTGGTAGCTTCAAACTGAACTTTGTACCAGCACTGTTAAATGGAGAAGGACATTCTGTAAGTACTTAAGTGGTGATTTCACAGAAGTCCACAAATTACTGGAGTTTTAAGAACATATTCAAGTTGCCTAAAGACCACATAGGATAAGACAACATCAGCTACTACTTCAGGGGAACAGAACTCTTCCAGGCCTCCCCTCTCCTGAAGACCCTCACACACTAAGTATGTTTCCCAGATCTGACAGATATGTGTAGGTGTACTGTGATGGAATGATTTGAAATCAGACCTTAATTCTCTCTGTGGTCTTGAGAATTATTGGTTTGTCATTTGTAATCTGTAATCATCCAGGAAGTAAAGAAGTTACACTACAGAAAGCAAGGAAGTTTTACCCTTAGCAAAGCCATGTTCTGTACCTGTCACATTAATTAACTCATTTTTATTAAGCAATGAAATGCTGTGCCAGGCTGGCATCTTATGTAGGTTATGCAGAGATTTATTAGTGATCCCCTACAGACTTGATTGTATTCTGGACATACATTTTCTTCTCTTCACCTTTTCTCATTCTCACACTTTCCCCAGATGATCCAATCTCACAAACAGCCATTGTTATATTTAGGGAAAATGCTTTGGTTTTGCCAAGCCTGTGCTTTTCAAACTGGGAATCAGGATGGTGAGCGCTATTAAACACTGTTATTCAACACAGGGACAGATCTGAAACAGATTCAACAGTATTGAAACAGATTTGCAGTGTCAGCTCACACACAACATGTATGTGGTGGGAAAAGGAATGAGAAACATGTCAGGCACGCTGTCTGATACAAAAGAAACCTATAACTTGACAATTGACAATGATGATTCTCTTTTCCTTGAATGATTCTCTTTCCTCCATGAATATTAAATAAAACAGCTGAGTATTAGTGGAAATGGGAAGAGAAAGGTCAAATCCAGCTGCAGCACAAGCAGATGCTGCTGAAATCCCAGTGTGCCTTTTCCAAGCCTGTTGGAGCCATGGCCTGAGATTCTTACCCTGCAGTTGAGCAGGGTGTAGAGCACATGGTCAGGGGTGGTCTGAGCTCTCCACTGCAACACTTCTGACAGGAACAGGAACTGCAATAAAGCAGAGTGACAGTCACAACACTGAATGACTTCTTGGCTTCAAAACCCAGGTCACAATACCCAGAAGCACTAAACAGGAACTAATTCTCTTGTCACGCATTTATAAGAAGGTGTTTTTGCATGGTGGCAGCCACCTCTTTGGAAGTAAAGCCCCTGCTGGGATTATGATATATTACTGCATATACTTCCAAAGCAATAAAAGTTCTTACTGATCCCTCTGAATTTAAGCACTATTTAATTCTTTAGCTTCCTCTCTTTTTCTTACTTTAAATACATAAGAACTTATACAGCTTAGAACTTACTAATTTAATTACTCACATAAGCCCCCAAAAGAGCTGAATTTCAACTTAATTTTCCATGGTTAAAAGAACAACAAATAAGGTCAGGACCTTATGTGTAAACAAAATTCCCTGGATTCCACTTGAGCTGGTAAAAATTATGTAATAGAGGGTTATTTCTGGTAGAAGCCCCATGAACACTTTCCACCACATTTTTTCCGCTAGCCCATGTAAACCTATTTCAAAAAATCTATAAAAATGAAATGCAGTGACTTCTCATCATGTCTGTTTAATATTTATCTGTAAAGAAGGCATATTAAATATATGCATTAATTAAAAAGAAGCCATCAAAAAATTTGGTGGTAATAATTATAATAACAATAATCATCATCATCCATCATATCTCTGAATTGTTAAGTGTCCTAATGTCAACTATATGATGATAACTATATCTATGGATGAAGTTAAATGATTTTATGATGAATATGATGTTAAACACAGGCTGTAACAGAAAAAATTTAGCTTACCTTTCTGGCCTGGTCATTATCTTCTATTTGCCCCAAATCTCTACCACTGGCCTGTGCAATTCTTTTTCCAGAGACCAAGTTCCCCACCATCACAGAGGCAGGGCCAATTTCTAGAATAAAGCAGAAATACACCAAGTGCAATAAAAATCCTTTGCTTGTGGATGAAAATTAATGTGATTTCTTTTGCTTTACATTATGTTTTCCTCACTGCCCTCCACAAAACTAAAATTTGAGCACATCTCTGTTGACATAAACTTTTGTTAGGAACTAGAAGTGATTGGAAGATACATTGGACTGGATTAATCCTCTCAAAGCAGCTCTGATTTAGTATGGACAGAGACATATCTTGTCTGCCTTCATAGGATGAATCTGGAAAATTTAGCTCCTACTGTAGGCATATCCATTCAAGTGCCTCAGTCCAGAGTGACAACATTCCTATTTCCCTCTTCTGTTACCTGGGCTAAGTTGCATCTGCATTAGGACTTCTGTAATGCTACAGTCACAAAGTGGCAGGGATTAGGAAGGCAGATGGTGCATATGATAAAACACGTGCAAGCCCTCTAGAATAAGATTGAGAGTGAAGTAACTCCAGAAGAAAATAAGGTGCTGTGGCTGACACTCTTCCATTAAGTGGATTTCACTGACCTTTTGTTGCTGCCATTAGGGGACAATACCTGTCTCACAGATACCATTTAAGCTCATGCTGGCATTTGTTTTCTACTTCTCCAGCATGGATTAATGATCAGCTGCAATTTATACCAGGCTCTATTTCTAGTCTATGATGTCCAAGTGATTGTTTCTGGTGTAAGTAACCAGATAATGTACAATCTAAAGCACCTACAGCTACTCTGCTTTAAAATTATAAAAAAAGCAATACCCTCTGGGTATGTCACAACAACACAAAATGGGAGAATGTGATACTATGCTCATGGCATTAAATATTCTTATTACCATAGTAATATTTAATGCATACATAACATATCCATTGATTCTAATTCAGCAATTATTTTGTAGAGCAGCAAAAAGGAAATACCAATATGATCACTGCAGTAAAAGGCACAATTGCTTTCATTAAGTTAGTGCAAGTCACTGTTAATCTCTGATACTCCCAGTATCCACAAACCCAGATTATGCTTTTGATTCTGAAACATTTGTCCAAAGGTTTTATAAAAAGATGATGGTTTAGGCAAACTTGCACTGAATTCATGAGGAATAGTCTCCATACCTAAGATCCAGAGAGCAAACCCACTTCTAATTCCAAGGTGTTTTTCAAAGTGGAAAATAACCAACAGTTAGTCTAATGTAGCTGAACCCAAGTTTTAAACCTGAGGCTACACATCCAGAACTCCTTGAAATTAATCTGAGTACTAAAACCTGCAACTGGATTCAAAGGCAAAAACTTGTTAAAATTTACTTGTACATTGGGCACAAATAACCAGTGACTGGATTACAGCAGGCTACAAGGGCTTTCTTGGTCTCTTGAGATAGTTGCTTGCTGTACCATTTCATCCAACATTCTCCATAAAGAGGCAAAACTTCTGAAGAACCATCTTAAAACTAGTTAGGGTTTTTTCTCTAGTATACCTGCTGGAAGAGTAATACAGAATCTCCCAACAGAGGTAGGGGATTAAAACACTCATTCTTTGGCTTAATTTATTCATTATCCATTTTGAAGTATTTGCTCTTCCAACACTGTTATTTAGTGTCAATAGTCCTCTTCCTCTCTGTTTCTAGTTTATAAACTCAGCCTTCAAAATAAGCCTATATTTTATCTTTCTCTGGCTTGCTCTCCATCCTCTTTAAACACAAGTGAAGAGGGATTTATGAAGAACTCCAGGTGTGGTCTCAGCAACACCTTGTAGAGTAATAAAAATGTCATGTTTATTGAATTAGCATTTTTCCTTCACTCTGTGAAGGTGCTTCTAGCTCCTGGCACACCAATGATGTCCTTGACACACAAAGAATATTGAAGAGGAAAGCTGATGAAGCTGATTCTCACCTGTATCAGCAATTACTTGATTTTGCTCCCTTACAGTACCATAAGCACGCAGCACGAAGTCACAGCTCCTTGGCCTTCACTCCTCTTACCTGGTTGCTTTTGCCTTGGTTTAGGCAGGTTTGTTACACAGGTGTGGGGACACATCAGCACATTACAAGGATGCAGAGATCCTTCCAGGAAGAGCTGTTTGGTTTCTGACAGGTGAATCCCTCCCAGCGGTGTCTTGGGAAGTGTGTTTGCTGGGACAAGTGCTAGGCAGTAGACTCCCACTTGATGAATGCTGTCAATTGCCTAAAAAAACCACACAGGAAGTCGATTTTAATGAAAGGCTAATTTCCATCACTCTAATAAGCACATGTTGTTCTGAATTACTTACTGCATAAAACAGCCCTAATAATTAACTGGAGATGGAAAGACACTTCAGCTATGTCAGTGATAAGGAGATTCTTTTCACTGGGAACAGGTGGACAGAAATGTTGTTACACTCATTCCAGCAGATAAAAAAGCAACCAAAAACCTGTTGATAAATGCACACAAATCTAGTAGGAAACGTTACCTTGTTATCCCTCTTAAGCACACATTAGTAGCAGATATCCCAGAATTTTTTTACAAAGATGAGCTGTCAGATCACATGAAATTGCTTTTAATCTGTGCAATTCTCATAGCTGAAGTTCAAGGCATTCCTATCAATTTAATATCCAGTCCATCTTTCTGAGCAGGGCAAAATTTCAAATAACCCCTACAACTAATGATGTATGCAGCTTGGGAATATTTTAATTTTTTTTATAAGGTAATAACTGTTTAATTTGCTGATCACAGTGCAAAAGATTTTCAGGAAGGAATGGAAAACATATAAGGGAAATATGAAATGATCCACTTGAAAAAAAAAATTGGTTGGACAAAAACCCAAAAAATAAGCATATTTGAATCATATAGCAACCATGTTCACTGCCTGATATTAAAGTGAATTAAACTGCATCATTTTCAAGAAAATTATAGCATACAGTATCTATACAATTTATTGAGCTAAACGTGAATATCCATGCACATAGATTTTAATTCCCCACAGATTTAAAGGATTTATTTTCTTTATAATGGTAACAAAAATTGCAGCAAGTGTGTTAGAACACCAACTTCAGGCATTCACGCAAACTGAGAAACAAATTGCAAATAGCATCTCTAATGAGTAGTTAAATGTTCGAAAATGTAATTTATTTGTCTTGCTTTTTAATTTTAAACTGTGAGAAAAGTGAATTGATATGTGTGCTGCCTTGAAGATACAATCTATACTCTGAGAATTAAATAATCACTTACAGTTATGCATGTACTAAAGTGTAGACCAATAAATTACTGGTTACTCCCACAGACTAAGCAATGCTTCTCTTTTGGCTTCTGTTTACTCCATTTCTTATTTATTTGACTGCAAAATCTCAGAAGGAAGAATAATAAAATGGTGACTCATTTAAAAGCATTGGAATTTTAGCAGTAATAGTTGTCACAGCAGAATTGGAAGCCTTTGCTGCTGGTCTACAGACACCCAAAAGATCAGCAACAGTGAAATGTTTATGGCAGCCAACACACAACATCTCAAGTTTCTGGCAGAAACCACCAATACCTACTAATCATAATGTTATTTGTAGGTTCTGAGAAGCAGTGATAAATCATGGGATCCTCACCTGACATCAGCCTGAAGGAAAACCATCACAAGCCAAGTAACCATTTTTACTCAAAGATAAAACTCTGTGGCTCTTACAGGTGGTGAATGGAAAGCAATACCCAGTTGTGGTAGGATGAGGAGTGTATGTAATTATTCACCAGTAATTTATGAACTGTCTCTGAGAGATACATCTGCTACACAATGCCACATAAATATCATGGGTCATTCAAATCTGTCACCTTTCACACTGTTGAGTTGGGCACATTTCTGAAGCAGGGAATGACTCTATCACAAGGATGACAACTGGTGAACTGAGCCTTAAAATTCTGAGGATGAAGAGTACCAGTCAACTTTAATACTGCTGGTATTTATGCATCCTGTTGATTGGATGGCTTGGTTTTTGAAACTACTCCGCCCAGCCAGAATCAAACAGTATCTGAAATTTCTGTCCATCTCTTTCATTGTGAAAATGGACAAGATAAACCCAAAAGATAAGCTTGAAGAGAGTTCAGACTGCTGTGCTCTTTGAGCTGAGAAAACATCTTGTTCTGACACAATTCTCTGGGTAAACACTCTCCAGTGCTGCAGGAGATCTCCTGGCTTTACCTAGTCCTGTCAAGTCCTGGCACTGGTAAAACCAACACCCAGTCTGCCACACAGGGACCTGCCTGAAGGGTCAGATCAGTCTGCAGCAGATGAGTATCTAGGATCCATCTGACTGAACTGCTGGGTGGTCTGGGATCTTCACCCTTCTACTCTCAAGAAACTCCATCCCCAGCCTGACCACTCCCTCCCAACCATCCCTCTGCTGAAACCCACAGATTCAGCCCAGCATAGTCCCACAGGTACAGCAGCTCTACCATCCTTCATCTCCCTGCCAAGGGGCAGGATGGGTCAGGAGAGTCAGAATATGTGCAAACCACTGGAAAAACTGGTTCTGCAAATTGAGACAACTCAACTGCAGGGAAGAGACAGCAAGGCACAGCAGAGCAGGGCTGGCACAGGGCAGCACTCACAGAGTGTCAGACAACTCACAAATAGCGTTAAAATCAAGTAGCAATTTGATAGAGTTTGTTACCATGGACTTCACTGAGAGTCATGACACAGGCTGTAATATTGTTATGTTGTGCCTCACTAGTGGATGATTCAGATACAGCTGGTTACCACTTCCTGACATCTGTCATTAAAACTCTGATTGGGAAGAGGCACAAAACATCCCACATGTTCCCGGCTTCTGTCCTTCCTCTCTGCTCAGCTGTGGTGAAAACAGAAACTTCTTGTTCACATAGTGGTGCATGCCAGAGCTGCAGGCTTCACACGTGGGTGATGAAAGCAGCCACACATGTGTGTATTTTGATACATGGTCTACTATTCTTAGACACTGCTGGGACTTGATCAGACTCAGAATAACAGGGCTGACTCTTGGCAGGAGTATTGGGACACAGGATTCCTGCAGTTTTCAGTGCAGAACTCTACTGGCTATGATTGTGTAAGACATTAGATCTGTAAAGTCACAAAGATGCTTTGCTGACAAAACACGACAAGTGTTAAGTCCAGATTTTCAATCCCTTTAGGAGCCTGCTACTTGACAAAACTGTGGGCAACCCAAAGCCTCTTCTTCTACAGTAGTTGCCCAAATGCTACTAGGTGTTTCAAAGGCTTTCTGTGTCCTGGCAAGCTAGAGCTTCTATCTTTTCTTGGTATTAATTTAGATTTACTGTGAATATGAGATGCCTCTAACTGTATGAAATGGGCTGTCTTTTGAATAAAGAGAGCAGATAAGCCCATTTTGAGATGGGTGAAAGCTAATTTTTTCAGTTTTTCCGTAGATAGATTGCCTTTCTTATCCAGTAAAATGCAATGATGAATAAAAACATCTCTGAATTTTGTGGGAACTTTTTCTTTGCTCTTAAGTAAAGCAAAAAATATGTCTGCAGTATATTTACTGAGAAGAGTCCTTGCAGAAGGACAGAAAGGAAGATAGGAAAGGGAAGTGGAAGTAACAGAAGACCAACTGTAGATAGAGTTGAGACCACTTCACAAGGTAGCAACAGACATAATCTGACTACATCTCTATTAAATCTATTGCTTTTGAGTCTGAATTGGATTAACCACAGAGATGGAAGATGACCCTATCTAAAGTATCTAACATTTTTGTGTGTGGACATTGGAGTTGAAAAAAACCCTGACTATTATATTGATATTTCCAAACTGTTGGAATGGGATTCTTTGGAAGAGGTGTCCTTCTGAGAAGATAACCACACTGTAGATACTGAGCTAATCAATCACTCTCCTTCATTTCAGTGGAGGGAAATCAGGATTTTTAGGCTGAGTTTTATTCAGTTTATTTTAGTTATCAACATGGTACACTAGAAACACTTAATTCTCTTTCACCTGTCAAAGAAAATAAATCTGGATGAGGCCAACTCTGTATCCATGCTTATAACTGTGAGCAGAGACTGGTAGCTTTTGACAGTAAGAGTATATAATCAATTCATTCATTCATTAATTCCCCTTTCAAAGTAAAGAATGACTATATCCTTATAAACCATATGCTACTCTCTCTTTGATATTATTTACTTCAATTCATTCCTGTTTTCTTATAGCATTTTGATTAGGAAAAGGATCACTCTGGATGTGTACAGCCCAGATAGGAACTGTCACCCAGAAGAATCTCATTTTGTGCTCATTCAGAGCAAGTGCAACTGAAGGTGGATTCACAATTACTCAAAGACAAATGTCAGTTACCTTAGGGGTCTGAAAGATCAACAAAAAGAATATAAAGTAAGAAGAAAAAACAGCTTCCAAACGTACATATAGAGCATTACCTGGAGAACTCGGCTCATCCACTGAAAACTGTCTTCTTCTGTGGAGTCTGGCCTTTGCTCAGCAACAATAACTATCCTTTCATCGTGCAGCACGCTCACAGAAAACACTGCTATTCTATAGGAGGAGAGAAGAGCATTTAGTGCCAGGACAGAGGGAAAAACCGTCTTCTGCATTAGTTCTACAACTCTGATTTCCTTATTTATTAGTTAGACTCCTGCTGTGTCAATTATTAATGTATTTATGGGGAAAAAGCTACAAGAACAGTTTTAGATAACTTCTGGAGTCAAAACAGCAGGCTTTGTTCTACAGTCATGTATATGCAAGCAGGATTGAGAAGTGGACATTCTTGGAAGAAGAAAAGCACTACATTTGGGTCACACCAAGGTTGTTGCTAAGATGTTATATAAGAGCCAGCATAAGCACCTTCCTTGGCCCCGTCTTAGAAGATGGTAATTGCAACATCATTTTGTGAGAGGTCTGACATGTGATGGATGTGAGCACGTGCTATTGCATGAGGCTCTTCAGAAGTTTTGGATGTCTCCTGCTCAGTTTCAGCACTGGGAAGTGAGGAAGGTCACACAAAGAATCACTTTCACATTAAAAAACTTCAGTGTTAAGGCATTTTGGAAATTTCAGTGCACACAGAAAGGCTCCTGTTAAGCCAACACCCTCAGAATTAACCAGCTGTTCAACTGGAAATTTCAATAATCACAGTTTCAAGACCTTAGTATCCAAATTCTGCCTCAAGATTGCCTTGGGCTTCCCTCAGCTGTCTTCTGGTTCAGGCAATATAAACAGAACTGGAAGGAAATTACAATGCAGATCAGGCACTGCTTTCTAAAAGCATCTGATAATTTATACTTCATCTAAATAAAATAAAGATTTCTACATAATATAAAAAAAAAGGATCAAACCTCCCCCTGTAGACAAATTTCATGGGTTCCACGGCCAGTGCTGTTGCTACAATGTCATCAGCATTATGTCTTCTTCCACTGACAACCATCAAACCATCCATTTTGCCAATAACAAAGACAAGTCCACCTGGTCCTATAAAGCCTAGAAGTCCAGTTCTTATAAAAGGATATTCGGTGATAGGGCCACCAGAACTGGTCATAGGAAACACCTGCAAAACAGAATCATGGGTCTTCAGTTCTGTACACAGAGATCAGGCTGCAAAGTATTTCAGGCACTTTCTCTCAGATGGCTATTCTGAAACAAAGTAGATAGGTCACTGGTGATGCTCTTTATCCTTCACTGACCATAAAGGGAGTGTCAGGAAGCTCCTACACTGGTGTGTACCTGAGTTCCAGCAAATTCAATCCCACTCTGTTTACCATACACATTTTCTCTAAGTGTGAGCCTGTAAATAATTTATGACCTTAAAAATATACAAATCAACATCAGTATTTAAAAAAAAAACATGCTGAGCAGACTGCCAAGCCAAGGTGCTGTGTATAGGTTAAATGAGAGCTTAACTCATTAACATTTCAGTAGAGTTTTTTTTCAGTACCTCATGCCCATTTCCAAAACAATGTAAGAAATAGCCAGGCTAGAAGTGAAGCTATTTTAAGGTACAGTACATTAATGATTCTTTCAGCTGACCATATTTTTATTTAAGGTCAATTAAGTTCTCAGAATACTAGTGATAATGTCTTCTGTAGCACACTAGGAAGTGAAAATACAGCCCTACACTTCCACAGACAGATTCCTATGGCTTTTTCTACTCTAATTAGCACAGTGTTATCTTTTTGGCATGTGAGCCACTCTGAGCTGCATTCTCACACAACCACACTTTCCTGCAGTCATTTCTTTAAACTTAAACAGTCTAAAGGCAAAAAGACAATGACAAGTAGAAGACCATGCCTACATAGTGTTCATGAAGGCTCATCTAAAAAGAAAGGTCAAATTCTGCTGCCAGATGCCCATGGATGACTCTTATTGAACAGATTTAATGCTTATACATTCTTGGCCATAATTCATTACAGGAACACAAAACTCTTTGACACTCTAATACCTGCAACATGAATTATGCAGTGAAACAGAATAGAGATCCACTTTGAGAGAACACTTAAAATCATGCTTAACTTTAAAATAGAGTGGTCCTGCTCACTCAATGGCAGTTTATTTGCTTAGCATTAGGAATAAGTCTAAATCAGTCTAAATATGCTGTTAACCTGCTGAAAGTTATGAATTATGAATGATATCACAATTACAGCAAGTACTACAAAATTAACATAAGTACCTTTCTACCCTTGAGTATGTAAAATCCAGGATTATCACCCACACTGGGTATTGCCAATTGTATTTGCAGCATAAAAATCAGTTATCAACAAGTTTCAGATCACAATAGCATAGTAGGATTCCTGACTTCAACAGCAGGATGTAGAATCATATCTACTTGTCTCCTTTGATTATATAATCTGCAGTGTTTACAACATTCAGTTCTGCATTTTGCAGGAGATATTAGTTACATTAGTCTATTAAAAGTAGTAATAACAGAGTTTTTTAAGAGAAACCTAAATGTATTAGTGTTAATTTCTGCTTTAAACGTTAAGTGAGAAAGAATTGTAGCTTAAAAATACTTTTTTCACTTTTTCTCTAATTTCTTCAGCCTTACACTGTCTTCAGCAGACGTTAATGATAGGTACTACAGAGCTATCGATACAGCTGTGAGCACTGGAGTCAGAAAACAGATTCTACAAAGCCAAAAGGCTTTCACCTAAGGCAATTCAAACAAGAGCAGGTGGAGACTAATCAGGAAAAGGATTCTCTGCTCTTCATATACATCTCTTCAAGACTACATCTGTCAGGATTCTGTATAAATGCAAGCCTTAATGCTGGAAGTGCTGTGGAAATGTTGAAAACTGCTTTCAAGAGATACCAAGCAGCTTTTTTTCTGTTTGCAGTAATCAAATTCTGCACACAGACTTGTAAAATATTACCTTTTGAACTTGGTCTTTCTTACTTCTTTCCTTCTGATTTTTTTTCACTTCCTGGTATCTTATTTGAATATTGAAGTAAAAGCTCTTCAGAGCTAAAACTAAACTCACATAAAGATCTACTACTGCACTTAATGAAATGGGCTTCCGTGCAGATTATCTGGCTAGAATATAGGTCCCAAGCCACAAGCACTGATTAATATTGCTATTCTTATACTGTTAATATCAATACTTCATGTCAAATACTACCTTGAAACAGAAAAAGTTAAAAAGGAAGGATTTTACTTAGCACTTTTTGTCAACTTACCTCAAAAGTATTTTTGGTCATGCCCGAGAGTCCATAATATGATGTACCCGTTGCAATAGCACATACACAAAGTTCTCCTATTTCATCTGTTTTACAGAGCTGAGGAATTCCATCTGGCTTCACTGAACACATTATAGCTAGAGGGAGAAGAAAGGAATTTAAAAAATATTATAAAATGAACCACAGAATAACATTAAGTGCTGTGGGAAAGACATCATGGTGGAGATGACATAAACAAATGCATTACATGTAGACTAATATCTAATAATCAATTTCTTGAACATTATGGTGTTTAACATTATCAAGTGGCTTTCTATTATGAATGGTATTTATATAAAGAATGCAAGGATCTTTATGCAAACTCAGTCTTTACATTGATAACAATACCTATTTGTCTTGCTCTCTGAAACTGCAGTTCATCTGTAATATTGCTGTGAAATGTGATTGTGTTCCCAGCTTTGCATACTGAAAACCAGATCTGCCTCAGTCAGTGCAAAATAAAATGGAGCCCTTATGGAGCCCTTGATAATTATTATACAGCCAGGGAGGCAGGCAACCAGGAAATCCACCTCTCAGAAAGTAGCAAGTAACACCATATGAAAGATCAAGATATTCCAGCAGACTAATAGGGTTGTTTACTGAGAATCTATCAGAGCTCAGACTCCCTCTGTCTGGTCTTACAGGCCTGCAGAGACGGCAGGAGCTAAACAGGAAGGATTAGAAAGCACTGGTCTGAGACAGAAGCACTATTTTATGTCAGCCATTTAAACAAGAATCAGGAATGCTGCTTTAGCTATCATCTCTGGACTTGGAGTACAGCATTGGTAGATTTTGTAATTGCAAAGAGGATATGATGATCAAGGGAAAGTAGAAAGGAATCAACACATCTTTTAAGTACAAGGGTACAAAATATTGAACAACCTTTCACTCAGAGGATAAACAGAGGTGTGTACTTTCATTAAATTTATCAGAACATAATATGAAGTGCAAGATGGCACATCTATTATAATACCTTGTATGACAACTATTAAACAACAATCGTATCTTCCTTTATTTTAAGTTGTTCAACTGAAATTTTGTAAGAGGCATCATTATGCTTTATTGCTTTGGTCCATAACAAGCATTCTCTTACAAAAAAATAAAGTATTAGCCTTTTCTAGTATCCATACCATCTTATTTAAAATACAGCTGCCTTATGAAAAGCATTATCTTCCTCTTCAGAAGCACTGGTTTCAGTTTGAATTTATCAACATACATGAACTTTTCAGTCATACCTCCTCAATCTAGCAACTGTGTGATAGTAGAAGACCTCTGGAAAAACATTCTGCAAGAATGCTTTGGAAAAACATTCTGCAAGTTTTCAGATAGCAATTTTATTGATCCTTAGCATAGGCTATAAAAATTTCCCTATTTAAACCTTTAGTCTTGGTAGACTTACAGATATTTATAGCCACAGTATTTTAACTTCCTTATTTTGTCTACTAACACCTCACAGCTTAGGAACAGATGTGGTGGCAGGTTATTTAATACATGCTGCTAATGCAAGCACAGACAGACACTGAAGTAAACGCAGACAAGAAATCTTGGGATTTCCAAACCATGAATTTTTGTAAGGTTAATGCTTTTGGACTGAAAATTTTTCAAGGAGCTTGTAGTCCCAAAGCTTGTGCTCTGGCAACAAAGCATGTTCACCTGCAACTTTCTACTGCCAGTTAAATTGATGAATCATCATGAGTTTCAAAGGAAGTTCCTCACCTCCTGGCATCACTAAGCCAACATCCTGGACAGTCAGGACAGACAGCTTTTCTTCAGAGTCCACTCGAATCACTCCGTAGGTGAGACCATGCATGGACAGAACTCCTCTTCCTGGCGGCTGGTTGCTGTCATCTGTTGGCCTACAAACACGGGTCAGAGCATCAGGGCACCATCAGGCAGGTGTAAACATTTACTTGTGCTTAATGGACTACTATTGCAAATACTCCTCTGTTTCAAGGGTTTAAAATTCTTCCTTCCTGCTTCCCCTGTTAGGCCAAATAAGATCCTGTTTTTCAGCGATTTCTTAGTAATTACATCTTTTATCTCTCTCATTCAGAACCCACCCACATATATGGGACTGCTGAAATGCAAGTAACCCAAACTTTTACCCAAATATTTACCCAAAAGAGCCTGTATTTAATTTTCAGAAAAATTTATAAAGATTGCCTTACCACCCAAGTAAAGAGCTTTTACCTAACTTGTAAAATACTGAAAGATGATGTAGACAAAGTGGAAGGAAACTGCCTTACAAATACAAATAATTGGAACTGATCAGTAAAATTGTTGAATTTTATATGTTATCTATTTTGAAGCAACCTGATATAGATTTACTGTCAAGTATCTGTGGAAGACACAAGGACTTCACCACCTTCATTTGAGTGCATATAATTGAATCCTTCCTATTCTAATTTACCATATGAAAATTAAAACAAATTACACCTTCATCAGTCATGGTCAAAATGTGGATGCAGCCTCTTGGTAACGCCTCAGTTTGCTCAGATTCATTGCTGTAAAATTCCACAGCATCAGCACAAGATGCCTGTCAGCTTGTTTCAGCATAAAACCACCTGCTGCATCAGTGGATACAATTATACCTATGGAGAGTGTGGCTGGAGTAAATGAGTGTAGACATGCAAGTAACCAAGGCAGGGGAATGTGTCAGAGCTTTTCCTGTCTAAAAGGACTCTTGCACTCTCCTGCATTTTAAAATGCAAAACTGGAAGGTGACATGGTGCTGATTTGAGTTCAGATTATGCATCCATGGAGAGCAGACTCCAGCTTTTTTCAGGACGGATAAAACAGCCAATATTTAGCTCACAATTCTGCATTTTTCCCAAATACTCCATCACAACACAGCTGTTTTTTAACATATAATGTCCTTTGATGTGACATTTCTCCTCTGCTGTGCTTGAAATACTAGATGGGCCTCAGCCAGTCCTGCTCATGCAAGCCTTGCCCTGATGGGCTCTATAAATTTCAATTAATAGGTTTTACGAGCCATATTTCTCAAGTGACATTGTCAACAAAGAAGGATGTGAGCACGCTTGAAATTGCATTAGAGCATAACAAATGGCGCTAGTAAACAAGCACCTGTGATAAATAATATTCCCATCATTAAAAGGAACTTTCAGTGACATTATTGATCAACTTTCTCTCATCCCTGTTGCCCAAAACACACATTTCTTCTCATCTGCTCATGGAGAAGAAAGGTCTCCTGGAGGCTTCTCACAAACTTCCAGAAGTAGAGGCCATCTGGACTTTCAATTTTCTTGAGCTACTTATCACACAAAGCATTTTGAGAGCAGCTCCTCCTACCATTTACAGATACAATCTATTTGACCACTGCTTTTTGCTAGCCATTTAAAAGGGAAAAAAAAACCTGTCCTTAAACTTTTGCATTCCCTTAAGCAAGTGGGTTCAGACTAATATGCAGTAAACCAAAGGGGAATAACATGAATTATTTGCATTACACATCCCCTTTTAAGATGAGAGTTTGTGATTCAGCACTAAGGCTGAAACACCTCTAGCCTATTACTGTCTTTTTCTAAACTATAAGGTTATTTCAACTGAGAACTGGTTTTGTTACTCTTGCTTGTAGGAAGTTCAGTAAAAATACACCACAGATTTTGAAAGAGTCAGAGCATTAATAGGGAGCTCTCTGGATCTCTGCTCTGCAGGGAGTCATTTTAATGCATACTTCAGCAGTAACTCTTTGAAAATTGTATGGTAATGACTTTACTGTCCATGGAGATGGCTTGAACAAAATGAAAAATACTACATCTCCCAAGTTCATCTAGCATTATCTTACCATTAAACTTAGTTCAAATAAAAGGAGATGTGTTCTCTAACACTCACTGCGGTAAGAACTGCCCTGTAATTACACAGTGACGCACTGAAGATAAAATGCCTATTTTTTTATTTTGAATTATCCTCAATGCTATGTGCTAATAATTTTTTTTTTTGTAAGGTCTCAATACTGGTTAATTTGGAAATGAATTTTTAATGCTTCAGAGAGCTACAGGCACAGAGCTTATGTCTAGAAAGGACACATCACTCATGCCATTATGAAGTTCTCCCACTTCATAACCTGTGATTTGGGTCAAATTTTCCAGGGTCAGCCCAGGAAATTAAAAATCTGCTCAGCGCTCAGCACAAGAGATGTCTGCTGCTCATTCACTTACAGACAAGAGTTCATTCCAAGGGAGCAAAGGCCAATGGCAGGGAAATCCATCTAAAGGAAAGACACTTGGTACTTCCTGTATAAAACTGAGAGCAGGCTGGTGGAGCTGAATGAAGGGTTCTCTGAAATCCTGTAATTCACAGAAAGTCCACTAACCTGGGCAGGGTAAGTTCCCGATGGATTGCTTTCAGATGTTCTAAAGTAATAATGAGGTGGCTGAAAATCAACCACACTCTTGGCCTCATGTCCTTCCTCCTGTAAATGTTCTGTTGGAAAGCTAATTGAAAATCTAGTTAAATTCACTTGGACAGTGTATTTAGGAATTTGTGGCAGGAAGTATTTTACTTAATGCTATTTTAGTGCTTTACACGTTTATATTGCATGTTCTAACGTGAAACAATTATAATTGGCTGCAGAAACATGAACTTCAAAACAAAGAGATTACTGTTCCATGTACAATTTTTGGAAAACTCTGCCAAAACAGACAATACTTGCACCATTTACTGTGTGCTACAGCATTCCTGACAGCATACTGCTGCTAGAGTAAAGTCTTATGAGAGGCTGAGGGTGCTGGGGGGCTCAGCCTGGAGGAAAGGAGACTCAGAGGGGACCTTATCACTTCCTAAGAGATAAGGAAGGATGTAGTCTGAAAGGCTACTTTCTCCCAAGTAACAAGTGACAGAACAAGAGGAAATGGCCTCAAGTTGTGCCAGGGGAGGTTTACACTGGATATCAGGAAAAAATTCTTCACCCAAAGGGTCATGAAGCATTGGAACAGGCTGCCCAGGGAAAAGTCTGAGACAACATCCTTGGGTATTTAGAGGCTGTGTGGAAGTGGCACTCCGGGACAAAGTTTAGTGAAGGCTTTTCAGTGCTGGGTTAATGGTTGGATTCAATGATCTTAAAGGTCTTTTCCAGTCTGAACAACACTGTGATTGAATATAAATATCACTTAACAGTTCTAGTAGCATTTAGCAGTTTTAGTGGAATTTATCTATTTTATTTCTAGCAATAAATCCCTTAAAGTCAAAGAGCATTTCCAGATGATTACTGAGAGTCTGTGAATGGTTAAAAAGTGCCTGTCAGCCAAAAGCAACCTGCAGAATATCATAATTCTCTCTAAACAGAGTACTTAAGAATATGATTTTCCTCAATGGCAATTCCACTTAATTCTGACATTTTAATTAATTCTATGCTTATGGTGGCATTTTTACATTTTTATTTACAGAATTTCCTTGTGCATTTCAACTTATTTAATTTAAAATGAGGTAAAATTACAGCAATGGGAGCCATAGAGCATTCTGAAGTTAAATCATTACTCTAAAAATTCTTCTTGTATGTCTTCCTTGGACATAAACAAATTGCAAATATGTATATCATGTAGAAGTTATATATGCAGATTCATATTTAAATTTTTTCTTCTTTTTTTTTTTTTTTTCAAATTACCAGATATACACATTAAATGGGTCTATTTTCACTGGTGTAACATGTACCTTCGAATAGCCACAGTGAGAGCTTCTGGTGAACTAGCACAGGGACAAATGACCTCCTGCCTTAGACCTTTACTTTGGAAGACATTGAGAAATGCATCACAGGAAGAAATGGACCCTGGGGTAAAGAAAAAAAAAACAACAATTAGAGACAGACTGTAAATTTGCAGTTTGAATAGCATCACTTCAGAAATCAAATTATTTCTGAAGTGATGCTATTCAAACTGCAAATTTACTGTTTAATATATAGGCTTTTCAGGAAAAATCATTTTAAAAGGATCCATGTTCACGGGGAAATACATCATAGCTGCTACAACTATATATATATATATATATATATGTATGTATGTATATGCACTTGTGTATATGCATACAGGGAATAAAGATTAACTTTTAAACATTAAATCTTTTCATTATGCTTACTTAGAAAAACTATTAATGCTAGATTTGCAGAATCAATTTCATTGCACTCTTCTATTTTAGGATGAGGGAAATTAAGGATTTCATTCAGAAATTCCAAACTACTACAAACAGCACACCTCTATGCTGTTATCTTAAATAATACTGAGAAACAGCTCATGCTGTTAATTGCCATGAAGTGACTCAGATGTGTTTCTCTAAAGTAGCTTAAGCATTCCCCTAAAATTCTCAGTTACTTCTGTATCTGAGAACCGTCAAAGGAAATGTTCTGATCCTTTCTATAGCTTAAGGTCTTCATTGCTACAGCTTTATAGATTCAGTCTTTATACATGACTGTGATGTTAATCAAAACTAGATTTACTGCAACTTATGTTATATGGAATATCAAATTTGTTTCAGGATCAGCCAAATACTTTGAAAAAAATCCCAGATTGATTACTTTTTCCATAAATGTCACACAGTTTGTAGCAGACATATTTTTCAAATATTTTAGCTAAGATGGTTGAAGATTGAAGCTTTAAGTGCAAGAGAGGAAACCCCTTCCTGTTCTGTCCTGTGCTGGAGCAGCAGAGCTTACACGGGTTTGCACCATCAGCCACTATCAGCATCCGCAGCGAGGAGAGGTTGATGTCCCTCTGGTCTCGATGTGCCACCAACGCCCAGTGCATGTCTCTGGACTTCACACAGGCAACTTTTGCTGCAGCAACAATGAGAAAATGACTGACACACCATAGAAAAGCTAGACAGCTGTGTTATTGATTTGCACTTTTGATTTTGACTCTCAAGGAAACTTCTGTATATTCTTGTTCCTTACCTTTGTATTGACAGACTTTTTGTATCCATGACAGAGGATTCACTTTCATTAAGGAGTATGGAATACTTATGACATGCATCATGTTCATGACACTCTGAAATCAAAAAGATAAAAGTATTTTATAAAAAAATTGTGGCAACTACTCATATTGTGTTATGGGCAGAGGCATCTATTCAAATCACTCTGTGCTTATTTTATTGTCAATGCTGGCACTCATCTTTTCCTATCTAGCTATCACATTAAGATGAAACAGACAATCATTTTCCAATGCTTTAATTAAGGATTAAGGATTTATACAAATCAGCTTGTAAATTTTATGCAGTACTGAAAAAACCATTTTCTTTCTATTCATACTCAAAGAGGCTCACTCTAAATAGAAAAGATTAAAAAAAACATTGGGTGAAGAATGTCTACATGTTTGCTCTGTAGTTAAATATTATGCCTAAGCCTGAACTGTGATATATATGAACACTGTACTAAAAAGGACAAAAGCAGCAAGACATCTGTCTATGAAAATCCATCTCTGAGAAGACTAAAAGCTACCAATGGTAGTGGGGCACAAATTATTTAAAAGACAGGAGACAAAGAAATTGAAATCCTAGACTAAGCAGAAATCGATTTATTTCAACAGAAAACAAATGAAGGAGGTTTTAGTCCCCCTCCAGGTGAGCTAATTCCAGTATTTTCAACAAGGTCATGAAAAGTTCCGGGAAGTTTAGAAAAAGCAGCTGAGTGAAACCAATGACAAACCCAAAGCTGATCTCTCAGTCTGAACCCATCAATTGCATCAGTGATTTCTCAGTGTTAAACACACAACCCGTAAATGAGTGGCTGCTTTACTTCTGTTAGTATTTACAAATATCTCCTCAGGGCAACATGCTTCCCCTCATAGCAGCTCAGGTTAAATACAGTATTTGTTTTGGAAAACCTAGTTTTAAGAAAGGTTAAGTGTCCCAGTGGATTTGTCATCTAAACACTTGGGGAACTGCAAAAGATAGTTCTCCTATCAGTCTGATAGTTCTCCTTTCAGTCTGGCACAAGGATAGGTACAGGAAAATAGACAAGTACTGAAAAAAATGAAGTTCAGAACAAGATTAATAGCAAAGGAAGGCACAGAACAGCTCTATTAGACATTTGCTTTGAACCAGTGATAACAATGTTTTTTAACATGAGATTCTTATGGCTGTTAAGCCTAATAGTTTCTGCTTCAGAAATGTTATTACTTGCACTTTGAGAGTAAGAACAGTGTAAAACTCCATGAGAAAAACATATCAGCTCACTGGGAATCCTGGGGACCCCTAAAATCATGCGATGCCCAAACAAGGACCCTTCAAGACTTGACATCTGTTCTTAAAATGATCAATGAATAGTAAACAATTTGTCAGTCACTGAATTGCACTGAATTGCAACAGCACCTTAAGAAGCAATCCTTAAAAATATGTCAGTTGTCTCCCATGTCAGTTGAGGAAGACATTCCAACATCAAGTAGAAAATTAATGCAATTTAAACTATTGGGAACACTTAATGCAAAAACATCTGTTGGGGAGAATTTTGATAGGGAAGCTAGTCAGGGGCAATAGAACTATGCCACTAGATCATATCCTTACTGAGGCAAGTACTAATTCGATTTGTTTCTGCTATAAAGTTTGATCTCAAAATCACATATTGGTGAGATAGCATAAGAATGGGGTCACAGTACTTGATATGATACATAAAAATACACTGACATCTTTACCATGCTCATTATGGGTAAGTGCACTAGGAGAAGATCATGGGTTTAAATGACATTTATTTTGCTTTCAAAGCAGAAAAAATTTTATTAGAAGAAACTGCAGGACATCTCAGTTTGTGACAGCATTAAGCATATTAGGTTAGTTTATCTTCAAATACTCAGAGAGAATAAAAAAACATACTTACTGTAAGAATTCCATGCCATAAACCAACATCCTTCTTGAAATCTAGTACATTCACAATTGTTTCAGCTGTCCAACAAAAACAAAGCAGAATTTATTTTTTAGAACATGGCATTGACCCAAGGCAAATCCACTCAAAGGAAGGAAGCTTCAGTATAACATGACTAATGACCTCAAAGGTCAACTTTCAAAGTAAATCTCCACTGCAGGATTTATATTGGTTAAGACATTATTAGTACCTTTCCTATAGATATTTTAAACATAAACATATTTTCTGAAACAAATGAAAAAAAAATTCATGTTTTAAATCTAGAAGCCTTTGCCACTGAACTGGGTAAAACATAATATAGAAGACTGATGAGAAATAAATTGCAATCCCCACTTGATTTTAAGGATGATGTTCACTGATGATGTACACATGTTTTAAGGATGATGAGCACACTCTGTACCTTCTGTGTATCCACAGGCCTGGGTCAGAGCTTGGCAGTGTGTCAGCAGTGCAATCCTTGTCACAGTTACCCCAAGCACACTTCCATCTTTACATGTTTTGTACTAAAAAGAAATAAGCAGGGGAAGTCAGTGTAAAATAATTGCCATATTTCCATTATTTAATAGATATGTTTAAAGTGTTTCCTCTGCAGGTGAAAGATGGACATATCTAATGACTCTATTTTAAGAAGGCAGCAGTACTGGGGAGTTTTGGAGGCATTTCTTTTTTTTTTTAAAAAAAAAAAAAAGGCTTTTTTTTTTTTCTGCTACTCTTTCTCTTTTGTATGATGTTGCCCTGCTTAGGTATTTAATAGACATGTGTAGTATGATTACAGGCATTATGGAAACATAACTCTAACAATTCTGATCATGTCAGTGACTAATGGACTGGCTGGATTTAGCAGAGAATAACCTAGTTCAATTTGTNTATGTTTAAAGTGTTTCCTCTGCAGGTGAAAGATGGACATATCTAATGACTCTATTTTAAGAAGGCAGCAGTACTGGGGAGTTTTGGAGGCATTTTTTTTTTTTTTTTAAAAAAAAAAAAAAGGCTTTTTTTTTTTTCAGATAAGCTTTCTCTTTTGACTGAAGATTCCCAGGTTTGGTATCTGAAATCCATGTGTTGTTTGAAAACAGGCATTATGGAAACATAACTCTAACAATTCTGATCATGTCAGTGACTAATGGACTGGCTGGATTTAGCAGAGAATAACCTAGTTCAATTTGTTCAGTGTTTACATGTTAGATTTTATAGGCCAAGCACTAAACTCCAGCTTCTCCCTTCTGCATCTTATAAGGCATGTGATAAGAGCTGACTGCAGAATCCTTGCTGGGTGCTGTGATAATAATCTATATGTATACAGTCTGAAATACACAAGCTCTTTGATCAGGAGAATCTGAGACTCATGAAAAAGCAGCAGAAAAGAGATGGGAGGCCATTGGTGATTATTGAAATAATTTTTGTAACGTTATGTAAGTGTCTGAGAACGATCAGGGACAGATAATAAATGAAACATTTATCTTTCTCCATGATGAAGATAATCAGCAAGATTGAGAGTGAAGACATCTCTGCTTCTCTAGCCCAGCGTCCTGACTGCACAAAGACAGGAAACACCTTTGGTCCATTCACTTGTACTTAGTCATTTTGAAGAATAATTTAAATTCAATATTAACACCACTGAATTCAAAGCATTTGAGTCTATGCAGAAGGGGGAGAAAATGATGGGGAAAAAAAGGAGGAAAATTAATTCAACAGCATTGCTAACTTTCCTTTCCTGATGCAGTTCTCTTGTTGGTAGTGTGACTCATAAAGCAGTAAGTGACAGGCAAGCATTTGAACAAGAAATTCTTTCTTTTTCAAAGGGTATGAAGGTTGTGATACAAGGACTGAAGCTTCACTGTGAACCTTGTCATCCATCCATCCCAAGGCTAGTGAGCAAGACCACATTGAACAGAACTAAGATTGCACAAGGCAAATGTAATATAACAGTGCAGCAGCCACATAAAAACATTTATGTTAGAAACATCCAGAATACAATTTAACATTTTATTGACTTTTCTGAAATCAGTATTGGTTGAATTTATTAAAAAACATTACTTATTAACAAGCTAAACCAGGATGTTCTTTGCTTCTGTGACTACTGAATGAATAATGATGTTTACCTAATCCAGAGTGCCATATGTAATGATTTGAGAAGAAGATGCATCTTCATTAACTCACCTCAATGTAAGCTGTGTCATTGTTGGCATCCTTGATGTGTGGGAACCAGTCACGAGGTGGCTTGGAGAGGTGTTTAGACTCTGTGACAAACCACAGCAGCTTTGGCCAGCCTGAGGTACAAACAAAAGCCAGCTTTTGTTGAGTTTCTGCTGGATAAGACAGGACAAAAGCCTTCCCTGCCAGAGTTTTATACTTGAAAAGTCTGTGTCACCATTACCAAAACATTGCTTCCTTTGAACCTCAGTGTAATATGGGAAAGAAGATTTTGCAGAACTGCTTTTTAACACAGCTACTGAGGTGTTTTTAGGCAGGCCCTGAGGGAATGGCTGGACAGTGTAAGCTGTTACTGAGCCCAGCAGTTTCATTGACACTCCCCTGTCAGAAGTTACTGTCCCTACACTTCACTAAAGGAGTGAATCGTATGAACATTTCTCATCTACTACAGTCCTAAGTCTGTTGGTTGAATTTTTGTGGCCACAGATGGTCTCAGCAGCCTGGCTGAGCCAGCAGAGAACTGGATTGGGAGCACTGGTGCTGCTCTCCTTCCATGAGACTGGCACAGCCATCACTGCCACAGTGACACACCAGGACAGCGGTGTCCCAGCAGCCCGGCTGCTCCTGTGGCAAGGGTTTCATCACAGGCCTGACACTCACCCACAGCCACTAAACAAGTGCAGGTTGTTGTAGTAAATGACCAGTGAGAGCCACAATAAACTAGGGCTAGGTTACCTTTAAACTGTGGTATCTCCCCTGTGGGGCTTTTAGGCAGTCCTTTATGGCATGCATCGCTGGTCAAGGCCACAGTAACTCCACAGCTTCCAAGCAAAAAGCCTATTTGTTGACTTCCTGCATCCTAAGAGATGACAAAATACACAGAATTGATTAGAAGTGATTACAGGCTGAAAGCACTTTTGTCCTCGGGTACGTTATCTTGAGAGGAAAACAGTCTCTTTCTTTTAAATTGATTTCCTTTTAGGTGACTATCAAAACTCATCTGTACATTGACAAAGGAATTCCATAAGATAGGTATCCTCTTGTCTGTAGAAGCATAAATCATAAAGACAGTGGAAACCATCAGATGGCATCTGCTCTTGCATCTTTAGAAATGACAAGTGGCTGGGAGGAATGCCTGATCTGACAGAAGGTTGTTTCATCCCGAGGGATCCCTGGAAAAATTGCCAGACAAGGCCCTCATAAAGTTCACCAAAGGCAAATTCAAAGTCCTGCACCTATGGAGAAACAAACCCCTGTGCCAGAACAGTCTGGGGAGCAGCTTTTTGGTGAAGAACCTGGTGGACAGCAAGCTGAGTGTGAGCCAGCAGCATGCCCTGGCACGAGGAAGGCAAATGGCATCCTAGAGCTGTGTGAGGCAAAGCACTGCCAGCAGGCTGAGGAGGGTTCCTCCCCCTCAGCACCGGCGAGGCACATCCCCAGTGCTGGCACCGGTTCTGGGCTTCCAAGGAGAAGACACAGAGCTCCTGGAGAGTCAGCAAAGAGCCACTATGATAATTAAGGGATTGGAGCATCTCTTCTCAGAGGAAAAAGCTGGGACTGCTCAGCTTTGAGAAGAGAATAGTTAGGGAGGGACCTAACCAATGTGTACAAACACCTGAAGGGAGTGTGTGAAGAAGATGGAGCCAGGTTCTTTCCTTACTTTGCTCAGCAACAGGACCAGAGGCAATGGACACAAATCAAAACAGAGGAGGCTCCCTCTGACAATCAGGAAACACCATTTTTTTCTGGGAGGGTGACTGGCACAAAGTGCCCATAGAGGTTGTAGAGTTTCCATACTTGGAGATATCCAAAAGTTACTGTGGATATAGTCCTGGGCACCTTGGTTGAGCAGGGAAGCTGGACTATGTCACCTTCACACATTTCTGCCAACCTCAACCATTCTGTGATTTTGTGACAATTCTAGGAAATAATCTGGATTACAGATGCTTCCACATGCAGAAAGCTTTTAACCATTATGATGTTATGATGGGTGTACAATGGTGAGAGTTTCCCTATTTATGTTGACCTAACCTGATTTGTCAATAACCATTTCATTGAGTAGTTACAGGCACATTTCAGGAGCACTACATACAGTCAAGTGCCCATTAGAGTAAGATCATTACATTTTACTTTCATCAAGGGGATAGAAGCAGTGAGATTAAGAAGTCATGTAATGATTTCCCAGCCTAGGCCATAGTTGTTCTTTAGGAGATGTTGTGCTTCAACAGCATTATGTCTGTTTTATGTATAGATCTTGTCATTACTCTTTTATGAAATTTACATCTATCCAACAGGCTCTTCAATAGAGCAAAGCCATAAATGTAAATGCACATAAAAATCTTAACCCTTTCTTCACAGAATTATTCTACTAAAAACCACCTAAAAAGACTCAAAAGATCTAATTAAAATATCTATCAAATCAGCCATAGAGCACATTCAACAATGGAAACAACCAGAAATATGGAATAGTTGCTTTAAACTATTGATTTGTTCAAAGCAAAATTCTGTGATGGAAACAAAGCTCCAGAGCTTGACTAATTCTTAATGCAATTTTTGTGTAGTCAAATAAAACCATCTAAAATGGAGAAGCAATGAGAACAGAGGAAAAGCAAAAGCTTAATTTTCCATACCACTTCAAAATATGTATATGGCAGCAATTATCATAACTTTGATAGCTGAGCAAGCGATGTGAGACAATTAACTGATCTGTCAAAGTCTATGCTATTTAACTCCTCCTATTCAGAACTATTGCATTTGCTTTTGCTTACTATAGCCAGAAGGTTTCTAAAACCAGGAAAAAAATGAAAAGGTATTTTTTTCAGCAAGGCTTTTTAATCTTAAGCATGTGTATTATTTTTGCCCATATAAAAACAGACAATGAGAGTTTTCTTTGAAAAACAGAGAATAATACTGGTATCTCCATGAACAACCCTTTGGAGAGCATGTTGTTGGTCCCACCATACCTGCACCAGTGGGGCTTCCAGGACTTAATGGGCTTTGTCCAGCATTAATTACTGTCCTCACTGACTCTCATGCCAGCTGCTTCACATCTCTGTTGTCAAACCTATGGGACAAGCACTTAGCAAGATCTAATCCTGGTTCTACATGAGGATGAGACCCTGTCTCCACTCTTGGAGTCTGCTCAGAGGAAGGAAATGGGTGCCTGAACAGTGCAGGAGGGATGGCTCTCCTGAGGGCCCTTCACAAGGAATGGCAGGAAGAGGAAGGCTGGAGTGCTCCATGGAGAACACCACTCCTTGGTCAAGACAGCTTCTGAGACCTGCTACTCTGTCACCTATAAAGGGAGGTCATGCGTTCCTTAAAATATCAGAGTCATACTACCATTACTCAAAATTTCCCATTAAATTTAATATTAAATGCTTACTAATATACGTATGAATTTATAACTACCAATTTAAAAAGGCATATAAAATTTATAATTGAATGCAGCAATGGCATTGATCTCAATTTTAAATTACAATGTAGTTGTAACTGCATATCCTATAAAAGATTGCCACAAACTGTTTCACCTCTATATCAAAAAAATGCCAATTCTCTAGCAATGAAATTCCATTTAATGCAGAGCTTTGTAAACAGAAATTAACCTAACAAATTCCATTAAGAAATCTAACACAAGGAAAACAGTAGAAAGTGTAGACCCTCAAGCATCAGCATACCATGGCCCTGGGGGATGCATCAGCTAAGAAAACACTTGTCAAACTCTTCTCACAGCAAAAGAACACAACAGACAAAAAAGGAACTTGTATTAACAGTGTAGAGTTTTTTAGATAACACAAGAAAAAATGACTACACTTTCCCTCATGCCATATCAACTGTCCTAGAGGATATCCACATAAATATTAATCATTCATTTGTAGCAGTTCACACATATACATAGATTTCTTAACACAATCTATGCACATGTAAGAGTTTGTAATAGCACACTGCTTTACATCAGAACAACCCACCTCAAACAGCATTAAAATCTTCACCCTATCCTTTTCTGAAGAGATATTCTTTTAACAGTAAGGAAAACATGACTGAGCAATCATGTGATATGACACTGCCACAGGAGATTGGAAGACTTTCACCAGGCATGGGCAGTGTGTTTCACAGACCTTCAAACCCCACACCATGCTTTGGTGGCTGCAATAAATCCTGCCTTGCAAGACAAAGGCAAATAAAGATGCTGAAGCTGAGGTGCTGTGAAAGACACTCTTCTCAAGGGCCACAGGAGCTCCAGCTGAGGACTTTGCAGTATGAACCCAATGACTTGGTGTCCATCAATTCCACCTTCAGTCTCAGTCTCCCACACCTCATAAGCAGTTATCCTCACCTTCTGCCTGTTTCTGGTGGTTCCATCCTGACACAGAATCTAAAACTACTGCAGAGAACACAGACATGAAGAATCCCTTGCCCCCTATAGGTTCTTCTGTGATAACTGATGCCTTACAGAAGAATTTGTTTCTAACTCTTCAAGTGGTGTTGGGATACTGGACTGACAGACAGGAGGTGGAAGACCTGACACCTTTATACATCACACAGCCATACCACAATGTTACTTACACACTCAACCATGTAAACACAGCAGTCTTTGCTGCTCCTCATACCTCAGCATGACAGGCCCAGAACAGTGAGAACCCTGGGCAAAACTTGTGTTTGAAAAATGAAGTTTGAGGTAGAAGTGCAATCCTTTGCCTGAGGATGTCAAAGCTTACATGTGGACCACAAAAATGGCTACTGACTTTAAGGGCAATGATTATTTCAGATTTGACAGACAAACTATTGGCCTGCCTTTTGAGTAATGTGAAATGAATTGTTGCAATGGTGAAAACTACTTTGTAAGTTGCAAAGAGACACCACCAAGTAATATTCTGCCAAAACCCCCAAATCCTCTTCCCCTCTAAGTAAAATCAATCTCCTACCTATGAAGGGAATAGATTTTCAGGACACACTGGTTTGTCAGAAGTGTTACTTGCTATTTTGGTTATCTGCTACTTGGCAACCCCCCCACTTGCCATGAACACTTTATTTTGCTGAATATTGTGGGTGTAGGAAAAACCTCAGGGAGCTAGTGGAGACCAGGTGAAACAACTGAATGCAGTCCCAACTGCAGACAGGGAGAGACTTGCCAGAGATGCTCATTGTCAAATCCTCCACAACTGACAGTCTGAAGTAACACACAATGCAGGTGGAAGGCAAAATGCAGAGCTGAAGTATTGTAGCATGAAGTTTGAGACCAATTGCTGACTTTGGAACTATCACTTTACATTTCTTGAAGGCACAGCACTTGCTGAGGTATGAAAATTGAGGTGTTCATAGCTTTAGACTATGTCTGCACACACCTAGAGAGATCAATCTTTCAGATGAAGCAAGCCAGAAATCCTCTCTGCTGTAGGCAGCCATTCAAAGTTCTCTAAAGACTTTTATTAAAGGTTCCCTAAAGGTTTTCACCAGTACTTGGAGGCAAACTGCCTTCTTCCTGCTGCAGAGTGATAATTCATTGTCAGGATAAAAAAAATCCCACGTGTGGTTGCATTTCAGCATGCTGTTAATGTCATTTCTATAATGCTTTGTGAGAGTATCTGTGTGAAGGAAAACAGTTATGATCCTGTCTCCGTGAGTGAGAGTGCATGTCCTTATCTAATAAGGAAGGAAGAGACAGCCTGTGCAAAGGTTGGCTGATAAAGGTTACTTCTGCTCACTTGCAAATCCCAGACTGCTTTCAAAATGAGAATTATGTGGTGGAGCATCACAGACTGAACTAATCTTGTTTTCTGTTACAATGCTTATTTGAGCTCCAGTGCCCTTACCCTAACAAAAATTTGCTGGTAAAGAACAAACAGGGCAATGATCAGA